TCTGACCAGCATCCCAGTCTGACCAGCATCCCCACTCTGACCAGCATCCCCACTCTGACCAGCATCCCCACTCAGGCCAGCATCCCACTCTGACCAGCATCCCCACTCTGACCAGCATCCAAGCATCCCCGCTCTGACCAGCAACCCCACTCTGACCAGCATCCCCACTGTGACCAGCATCCCAGTCTGACCAGCATCCCCACTCAGGCCAGCATCCCAGTCTGACCAGCATCCCACTCTGACCAGCATCCAAGCATCCCCGCTCTGACCAGCATCCCCACTCTGACCAGCATCCCCGCTCACCTTGTGGGGGAGGACAAGTCACCTCGGCCAAGAGTTCTTTTTTTTTTTTTTTTTTTTTATCTGTGTGATCCAACAGAAAGCCTACAGAAGAGTATGCTTCCCCCTTCCATCTCTTGGCTTAGGTTATGCCAATTAAGCATCCTTTAAGCATCTGGCTCACAGATGCAATAGGGAGCAAGATGAAGGACATCTTTATGGAGTTTATAATCTAATAGCAGCTCACTCACTGTTAGAACACAGCATAGAGATACAAGTAATTAGCCAAGGCTGATATTAGGCAGAAATCCATAGAAATGGTAGAGAAAAATTTTTACATTTAATAGTGTAAAAACAACAACAAAAAAATCCCCTTAGAACCATTCCTCATGCAAATAGCGTCCCCAGCATAGACTGCTCTCCGAATTATTGATGTGTAGTGTCTCTTCAGCACAGTTGAAACTGGCCTTGGGGATCTTTATTTGGCTGGAGATTTAAACTAGCTAGGTTGCTTTTATTAAGCATAAGGCCCACAGTTCTCTTCTTGGTTTCTGCCACAGTTTTTCACAAATACTCGATTAGATATGTGCACACATAGAATTCCCTTATAAACCAAGCACACGTGGGATGGCTCCTTTCCCGCTCCCTCCCTCGTTTGGCCCCTCTGGAAGATGGATCATCATCACCCAGCAGGTCAGGTCCCTCATCATCCTTCTCTTTCACAGCAGAGCAATGGTCCGTGTACCCCCGCCCACTACTCTGTTCCAAGGTCTTCACTGCTACAAACAGCAGCTGCCAAGAACATTCATGTGCATACATCTTTGCACACCTTATGTCTGCAGCATAAGGTTCCCAGAAATGGAATTGCTAGCAAAAAACACTGTTTTTATTTTGTTCTTATTTGAGACAGGGTCTAACTGCGCAACCCAGGCTGGGCCTGAGCTCATAGTCCTTCTGCCCTTAGTGTCAAGGATTCAAATAATTAGACTGTTTCTGTTTTTTTTGAGATAAGGTCTCTTGTAGCCCAAGCTGGCCTGGAACATGCTTTGTAGCCAACACCAACCTTAAACTCCTGATCCCGCCCCCCACTCCACCCCCCATCCATCTCCCAAGTACTAGGATTTCAGGTGTATGCCACCATACCTGGCTTAAGGATTGATTGTACTTTAAAAAACAAATATGTGCATATTAGCTGCCTTTCTGTTGCTGTGATAAAATGCTAACAGCAAGGCAACTTATAGGAGAGTTTATATGGGCTTATGATTCTAGAGAGTGTCCATAATGGTGGGACAGAGGCAGCAGACAGGACGGTGGCCAGAGCAGGGTGTTGAAAGCTCACATCCTGAACTATGAGCACAAAGTGTGAGCCTTTAAACTTTCAAAGCCTGCCTCAGTGACAAGGCCATACCTCCTAAACATCTAAAAACAGCACCACCAGCTGGGGACCATGTTTCAAATGCCAAGACTAAGGGGAACAGTTCTTATTCAGACTGCTAGAGTGTGTTGGGTGTTTTGCCTGCATGAATATCTGTGTGTCTTGTGCATGCCTGGTGCTCAGAAGTCAGAAGGAGACATTCGATCCCCTGGAACTGGAGTTCCAGGTGGTTGTGAGCTGCCGTATGAGTGCTGGGAACGGAATCTGGGTCCTCTGCAAGAGCAGCCAGTGCTCTTGATCAGTGAGTCGTCTCTCCAGCCACAGTGCTGTACTTTTTAAAGCACTAATAATGTTACCATGATGCATTCTGAGGTCTCTCTGTTCCACCATGCCGTACGGTGCACCACCGTTTACCACCATGCCGTACGGTGCACCACCATGGGCTCATTCACAGTGAACATACTTGCAAGCCCGTTACTTGCAACTCCCCAGTTTTGAATATTGACAAACTTGATTTTTTTCCTGATTTCAGCAGCAGAAAAAAAATAATGCTAGTTGTTATTTTAATTTTAATTTTCTTACCTATGAATAACACAGAACGTCTTTCTCCACTAGCCTTTTGAAAACAAAAGAAACAGAACCGAGGCTTCTATCCTCCTTCCCTATCCACTAGGATAGTAATTCTCCAGTGAACCCCTGGACCAACAGCGTCAGCATCACACCGGAAATGTAGACTCAGAATACCCATACCCTCTGAAGGAGGAACGTTAGAACCCTGCAGCTCGGTGTGGCCCTGCCTCTGGAGCTGCTGGGTCAGCAGGTCTGGGGCAGGTTCCCACATGCTGGGCCACAGACCCTCACTCTTGCAGTCATGCTTATATATCCCTTTTTGCAGGGCCAGAGAATCAAACCTAGAGCTGTCTATTTGCCAAACAAACATGGCTGCCACTGAACCTGCCCAGCCCTTTGCTGGGAGATTCACTGCCAGCAGGTTTTCTGAGTCTCTCTTTTCGGAGGAGCATTACCCCAAACAAATTTCTGTCAGGTGGGAAGGATCTTAAGGGAGTGCCTGGTTATGGTAACCTGGAACCGTATGGCCTCCTGGGAAAACCTTGCATTTAGAGAAATGAGGAAAGTTATCCAAGCTTCTAAAACACTCGCAGCGCCCCCATCTGTGCAAGACTCTTACTGCAATCGCCTAGAAGTAGACAAGAGCATGCTTCAAAAAAAAATTCTTTCTTTCTGAGCAGCTTGATGTATGTCTTTGATCCCAGCACTCAGGAGGCAGAGGCAGGCAGATCTCTGAGTTCTAGGCCAGCCTGGTCTGCAGAAAGAGTCCTAGGACAGCCAGGGTTCCACAGAAAAACCCTGTCTTGAAAAACAAAAACAAAAACAAAAAAATCCTTCCTTATATAGTTCAAAGTGGGTCACTTGCTGTCGTTTGTTTTGTGAGGCTAGCCTGAAAATCGCTAGATAGTGCAATCTGCCCTCTACTTCAAGAAATCCCGCCTCAGCATACACACAGGCATGCATGCACCTAGGGTGCTGGGTTACAAAGGTGTACCATTAGGCCTGCTTGTTTTTATTCTTTGTCTTTTGACAAGGTCTTGCTATGTTGCCCCAGCTGGACTACCAACCTGCCTCAGACTCCCAAATGCTAAGATGACAGAAGTGAGCCATAATGCCCAGATAACAAGCCTTTAGAGAAATGGTTATTAGGCCTAGCGCTACACATAGACCACCCAGGGGGACTTCCTAAGAGCATTCTTCGGATGACAGGTTAGGATACAGGAGGCCACTCCCCCGCAAGGAAAAAGATGAACGCAATACATGTGCCTTAGTTTGGTTTCTATTGCTGTTATTAAATTCCATGTCCAAAAGCAACCTGGGGAAGGAAAGAGTGTATTTCATCTCTAACTGCAGGTCACAGCCCATCATTGAGGGAAATCAGGGCAGCAGGAAGGACTGCTGCTTATTGGCTTGCTTTTTATACAACTCAAGGCCAGCGGCCCAGCACCACCCATAGTGTGTTGGACCCTCCCAAAACAATCATTAAGCACCACCCCCAAATGTCCCTCAGACTGGCCTATAGCCCAATCTGATGGAGACATCGTATCAATTAAGGTTCTCTCTTCCCCAGTAACTCTAGTTTGTATCAAACAGCACAGACAGATAGAAGAGAGTTGTTCTAGATCTTAAAAATGTTGTTCCCCGGGCCGGGCGTTGGTGGTTCATGCCTTTAATCCCAGCACTTGAGAAGCAGAGTTCAAGGCCAGCCTGATCTGCAGAGCAAGTGCCAGGACAGGCTCCAAAGCTACACAGAGAAACCCTATCTCAAAAAAACAAAACAAAAAAGTGTTGTCCCCTAAGCTTGCCAATTCTGGAAGCTATTGTTGGGCCATTTAGGGTGTCAAACCTCTGTGCCAATGGCAGTGCGGCAGCTCCCACTCCCATTGTAAATCCCCTTTTCCATTGCTGGTGTGTGGCATGTGCTTCTGCTGGCCTCCAGTAGGTTTTCAGCTAGGTTTTACTCTTAAGTTGGCTCCTTTTAGTCTGGTCTTAGCCCTTCAGAAGAACGTGCTAAATCCTTTGCCTATAAATACCCACCAACCTCTTTCTCGTAGCAAAGCCGCAGTGGCATAGCTTGGCTCTGACAGCTTCCCAGAGGTCACCAGCTGAAATCATTCCTCCTGGGCCAGCCAGGCCCAAACACCCTCTCCATTCACACAGTCCCTCTGAGTGTTTCTGAATGAGTTGGCCTCCCTTGGCACTCTATCCCTATGTCATCAAGAACTTTTGGCTGAACCCTGCAGAGTGTCCCAGGTGTCCCTCTGGACTAGAGTTCATCTTCTTTCCCTCCCCAGAGTTGGCAAGAAGATCCTGTAAATAACGCGCTTTGGGTTCTAACACCACGAATCATTGTACACATGGGTATACCACCCCAATTTGTAGCTAAGAAGCCAATCAATCCCCACGGGGTTTAACTCTTGCTGTGTTTATATCTGTGCATGAAGATAGGTACTTACACTGACCCTGAAGATCTTGGCTGCCCAGGAGCATATAAACTAGTAAATCGCAGCCATCTTTAAAGGGGCATTGTAAATCTACCGATGTGCATACATGTGCTCACAGACAAGGCTAATGCCCAGTTTTCCCTAATATGAGGGAACATCTCTCACACAGCTAAAAAGCAATATCTATCTGCTTCCTGTCCTTTCTCAACATGCATGCATGTGTGGCTCGTTCTTTCAGTGTATTGGCACCCAGTTATAAACGCTCTAGCTTGCATTTTCTTCAGTATTTGTTGCATCTGAAATGATCGGGTGACCTCACCTTTTGCCCTCAGGCTGCACGTGGGAATTTGGAGCCATGGTGAACTACATCAAGAAGACATATCCCCAGACCCAGCTGGTCGTCGTGGGCTTCAGCCTGGGTGGTAACATCGTGTGCAAATACCTGGGGGAGAAGCAGGCAAACCAGGAAAAGGTCCTGTGCTGTGTCAGCGTGTGCCAGGGGTACAGTGCGCTGAGGTGAGTCGTCTGCGCCTCTCTCTCTCTCTCTCTCTCTCTCTCTCTCTCACCACGCGCGCGCGCGCACACACACACACACACACACACACACACACACACACACACGCACGCACGCACGAATGCGTCCTTCAGCGCTGACAGTAGTTGTTTATTGCACTCAGCCAATAACAGGTCCAGGGAGCACCTTGCAGACTTGGACTCAGCTGGGCCTGCTTCCATGTCATACACCAGAGTCGTCCTAGCAGGCCTGTTAAGCCTGAGATGCATCACAGTATTTTAGGATCAGATCCAGCAGTTGGATCACCAAGACCACTGTAATAGCTGCTGCCTTCCCTTGGTCTCCTGCCAGCAGACCCTCTGCAGGATGAGGATGAGTTCGTGTGCCTGACGTACTCGGAGCAATGCCTGGCCACAGACATAATGTCCAGCAGCATCACTGCTGTCACTGGGAAATGAAGAGGGTGGCTTAGATCAGGGATCACAGAGGCCAGTCTGATGAACTTGTCTCTGGAGTGACTGGCAAGATGGCTCCGTGGGTAAATGCATTTTCTGGGGAAGTCCGATGACCCAAGTTTGATGACCAAAACCCACATAAGCCAAAGCTAGCCAAAATCAGCTCCATAGAGCGGTCCTCTGACCTCCATGCGTGTGCCATGGCATGTACACATACACATATCATCATGCACACGCAATAATAGTAAGGTTTAAAAACATTCACTTGAGGGGATCATGTTAGAAACAAGTTCAGGGTGGTGGAGCCCTACGTCTGGAGGTTTTCATTTGAGGAACCCCGGAATCTGCCTTCTTGACCCGTTTCTCAGAGGATTCCATGTTAAGCAGTCATTGGGTTTGGTGACCTCCAGCTCTGGCATTTCGGACTAGGTTAGCCTCTCGTCCCATATGCCCTTTATTGTGGCTCACTGAGAAATATCCATCTCCCAGTTCACAGTCACATAGAACTAGCCAGAACCCTCCTGCCCGGTCACTTGGATACTGAGGGGGCAGCCTTCCACCAGATCGGAGGGAGCAGGGCCTGGAGATGAGGGGTCCTCCCTGCTTCCGCCCGACAGCTGGTCTAATGTTCCACCCACCTTTGTCATCTTTGCTGTTAGACACCACTGGATTCCCTTCCAGCCTCGGTGCAGGGAACTGGCTGTGAATGCTAGCCCAGTGTTCAGAGATCTGGGTTTTTATAAATAGGAAGCTGCTGACAAATTTGTCCTTTTCTTCTCCTCCTCTCTCCCCTCTGCTGTCCTCTCAACGCACCAATCTTACAATATACAAGTCTCCTTGCATTGTGCAGCAATAGCGCCATCTGCTGTTGGCAGATGAGCAGCACAGTTAGCAAAGTAAGGTGTTCAAGTGAGGCAAACAAGAGTGACTCAAGTAGGAACCTAGGATGGTGAAGTGCTTTCCTTCCCACCTTCCCAGAGGCCGCTAAGAGCTGCAGACACGCAATTTCCCGTTGTCACATCAGCCTCATACAATAAGGAGAGAAGGAGGTAGGTTGATTCTCTAGAGCGTGATTGACATTTGGCTGAGACCCTGCAGCCCTCCACATGGAATCCTGAGGCCAGCTAGAGAAGGGCATTGTCCCTGTGTGCTGGCGCTGCCGGGGCTCATAGCCATGGCTGAAGGAAGGAAGGAAGGAAGGAAGGCAAGTTCCATACTGTAAACCGGTGTAGCCTTCTCTTCCTGTGGACACTTGAGACGGGAGGAGACTTTTCATCCCGGGATGGCAGCGGGGCAGGTGGAGCAGGAAGGCGCATCTGCACCCTGACAGGCAGACACGTCCGTCCTTCAGAGGCAAGAGGCTCATTGGCGCAGTATCCTTGTCCTCACCCTGTGAAGCTCTGGATCCCTGTGAACTCCAGGGACTTTTACTAAGCAGCACCCGTGGTGTTGAACCTAAAAACCTCTGCACTGCTGACTCCTAACATTATGGCCAGGACTACCCTCCCCTCCTTACCTCTGCAGTCCATCTTCTCTGAGGTAGGAACTAATGAAAGCAAGAATGCCCCTCGGTGATAGTGGCTTCTCGAAAAGTGTGCTGTTCTCCACTTGAAGCTTCAGCATTTGTACTGTGAACACATCGCGCACACGCACCTTTATGCTCCCCACTTACTTATCTAAGCAGTTGGAGCAGATTCTCACCCCCAGGAGGGTGTCAGCTGTGCCTTTCTGGGCCTGGAGGCTTCCTGCAGGGCCATCTTCAAAGGGCTTTGTGGCTTCTCCCCCGATGTCTGGATGCTGCACACCAACGCTGGTATCCAGCACGGGCGCAAACCAGGCATGCACTGTCCACACAGTCCCTCGTGGTAGTCATGGCGTCTCTCACTTGCTGTGGTTCTTCCAGGGCCCAGGAGACCTTCATGCAGTGGGACCAGTGTCGCCGATTCTACAACTTCCTCATGGCCGACAACATGAAGAAGATCATCCTGTCTCACAGGTTAGGCCTCCTCCTCTTTTCTCGAAGGCGATAGCTGGTAACTCCTGCTGAGACGTGACACTCTTCTCCCCGAGGTTGCCTGGCACTGTTTAAGTGGCCTTCCTCCTCAGGGTGCTCCTGGGAAGGGCTTCAGGACTGGGTCTTGTCCAGACCTCAACTTCAGCCCCGTGGCGGGAGGCTCAGCGGTGCCTGCTCCAGGCTCTTGGAGTAATGTGAGGGAGCAGGAGTCAGCGATGTTAGCAATGGCCTTGTTCTGATTATCCCCACTGTTGTTTTGGCTCCTCCCTTCCCCTCTAGCTGGACAGGAGTGTGAGGAGACCCTGCTCCCTCTGCGTCTCCACCTGTCTGTCCCTGTCAGCATTGCCCACTGGGCCCACGCCGTCCTTGAGGCCCATCTAGGCCCCCCTTCTTGCACCAAGCTGCTTTTTTGAGGCTTTCCTTGGGTCTGTCCTGTGCCTTGAGTAATCTGGGCATGTTTTCACTCCTCCTCAAGCAGTAGTTCTCAACCTGTGGGTTGAATGACCTTTTCAGAGGGGTCACCTAAGGCCACTGGAAAACACAGATGTTTTCATTACAATTCATAACAGTGGCAAAATTACAGTTATGAAGTAGCAACAAAAATAATTTTATGGTTGGGGGGTCAGCAGAACATGAGGAACTGTATTAAAGGGTCACAGCACTGCCCTAGAACCTGGGACTCCAAGGAACACATGCTGGACAGAGTAGAGTACAGCCCAGCTGAAGTCCCAGTGGGTCTGAGGATTTACTGAGACTCTCTAGCCAGACGGAGTGAAGTTAGATTGCCGATGCCAAATTTAAGTCCTTGTGTCTGCACCTCTAGAATGGACAGTGCAGCCTACTGCAGAAGATTTGTTTTGCTGAAAGGTTGAGGAGTGTTGCTTAAAAAAAGTCCCGAAGGTTTATTATGCAATTGCTAACAAACTGGGAAGGCATGTTAGTGTGTTTATCACAGAAAGCCAACTAACTGAACTCTGAGGAAAACTTTAGGTTATGAATTCAATCCTTTGCCGCCTTATTTGGGAAAAAGTAAGTCCTAAGGAAGGCTGTTGATCTCCTTTTAGAGAGGTTATAAATGGATACCAGAACACTGCATTTCTGGCATGACTGTTCCCTCCTGTCGCGCCAACCCTCAAAGCAGACTCAGTCCTCCCTCTGCTGCGTGACTGAGAGCAGGAGCATGGAAGGGAAGTCCACCCTGCCTGTTGTCATCCCTACCTTCACTGTCATGTCCAAAATGGCCATTCCTCTTCGTAGAAATGACCTCTGGATGGAAGCCACTCCTCTGTCTCCACAGATGCACAGGTTCAAACAAGAGCAGATGAAAATCACAGTTAGCCTTGCAAAGGTTCTGTCTGTGCCGGATGTGTGCAAGTTTACCTCTTGAGAGTCTGTCTACAGGTTCTAGCAGGGGAGCGTAGCTACTTGTATACCCTTGACTGAAGACCATTCTCTATTTAGGGAAGGTTGTCCTCTTTGACCAACCATGCAGTTTCCATAGAGACACACAGGGAGTTGTGAGGAATGAGGGGGTCACTAGCCTAGCCAACCCCATTACCCTCATTTCTTCTGCCCTAAACAGTATAATCAAGTCTAACATCTGTTTCCATTCCACTCGCAATGTCTTAGGTATTACATGTAATTTAGAGATGATTAAACATACAGGAGATGGCAGAGTTACATGCTCATCCAAAAGCCAGGTATGGTGGCACATGCTCTTGTTGTCCAAGCTACTCAAAAAATTGAGGCAGCAAGGTTGCTTGAGCCTAGGAGTTTGAGAACATCCTGGGTAACACAAAGAGACCCCACTCTATCCCATCCGCCCACCACCCTCCAAAAATATCAGTCCTGGAGTATCTGTGGATTTGGATCTCTGAGCAGTACCCTCTTTTGTCGTTGTTGTTTTGTTTTGTTTGTTTTTCGAGACAGAATTTCTCTGTGTAGCCCTGGCTGTCCTGGAACTCGCTCTGTAAACAAGGCTGGCCTCAAATTCACAATTGCTAGGATTAAAGGTGTGTGCCACCACTGCCCAGCATCTGAGGACTATCCTAAAACTAACTGCCTGTAGATACCAACGGTGACAGTTTACAGCTTTTCAGTGAACACTGTGGAGAGCTGTGATTTAGCCAGATGCCGAAGGCATTGCTGGTTAGCTTCCTTATTAAGCAACACACACAGCTTGTAAAGGAACAAGGACCTGCCAACCTTTGGCAGCATCAACGTCAGTGTAAACCTGAATCTCCTTGTTTGGCCTGCTGCCCATCGCTTTTCCAAAACACTCTTCCTGGGCTTCCTCCCCTGTGCTAAAGGTTGTATAATAGCCAGCCAACTTGACACCTAGTCTTCAGTTGGTCTTGGTATCCTGAAAGGAAAATAGGGCTTTTAATGTTCCCTTTCCTATACATGCCCATCTTCTTGGATGTTCTAAAGGCTCGAAGGAATCAGGCATGGTAGCACATGCTTGTAATCCCCGAATGTGGGAGATAAAGGCAGGAGGCTCAGGAGTCCAAGGTCGTCCTTGGTTACATGGGGGATTTAAAATTAGCCTGGACTACATAAGAGTGTAGGTTCAATCCTCAGTAACACAGGGAAACAATAAATGAATGAATGAATGAATGAATGAATGAAAGAGCTCGAGGGCTGTGTGTCTAGTTTGCCCTATCTCTAGTCCCATGGCAGCCAGCTCTCCTGGTCTGCCTGTGAACAGGACAGCGGGCTCTGCTGTGGTGATTTCTCCCCCCACATTGCTCTGTTTACTTGTGTGCCTTGTTCTAGACAAGCTCTTTTTGGAGACCACGTTAAGAAACCCCAGAGCCTGGAGGACACAGACTTGAGCCGGCTGTACACAGCGACATCCCTGATGCAGATTGATGACAATGTGATGAGGTGGGTCCCCAAGGCCAGGCCACAGTGCTGGTCAGCTCTGCCCGGCGCCACTGCCTTGCTCCACTTGCTTTGGTGGCTTTTTTTCATTTTAGTAAGAGTCTAGTGCTTAGAATAAGAGATCATAGGAAATGCTCATCTCTTGGAAGTGGGTAAAGACTGTGGCCTCTCCTCCCATGTGCCACAGGCAGCTTGAACTGGGGGATGAAGTGTGCTCACCTGGCACACTCGTACACCTAGTGTGTCCCTCTCTGTACACCGTATGTCCTGCCTCAACACAGGACAAGATCAATGCCCCCAGGTTTGCCTTTGCAGTGGGGGAGTAGTTTTTCTTCTACATGGCAAGCATGCTTATCCAGACTTTGATGGCTGAGTCTATCAAAAGAGATGACCAGAGGTAGACCAAGAGAGCCGTAGGTTTCACACTCTGGGCATGGGGATGAGGTACTTCTGGGCAGAAGCTGTAGTCCCGGCCTATTTCTCTCATTCGCTCTTTCCCTGCCTGGATTGGTGGCTCCAATGGTCTCACCTTTGCTGGCACCAGCACCTTCTAATTGAAGTTAGAACTTCCCTTGTAGAGTTCATCTCAGACCTTGTCCCTGTCTTTCACATTTCACAATCCTTTGATACCTTTAGACAGAGCCTAAACCAAGCAGGTCTTCCTCGGATAGGTGGCCATTGGCCTGAGGCTGTAAGAGCTCTGCTTTTTTTCCGTCATGAAACTCCTATCCTTTCACACCAGGTAAAGTCGAAGGTGACGGTTACTGTTTTCTCAAAGCAAATAGAAGCTATGGAATTGCTAGTATATTTAAGAAGTGGAAATTGTCTTAATTAAGGCTTTTATTTCTTTGAAAAGACATCAGCAACTCGTACAAGGAAATCATTTAATTGAGGTGACTTGCTTACAGTTTCAAAGGTTCAGTCCATTATCACCACGGTGGGGACCATGGTGGTTTGCAAGGAGCCATGGTGCTGGAGAGGTAGCTGAGAGTCCTACATCTTGACTAAGACACTGGGCAATATTATCCTGAGCATAGGAAACCTTCAAGCCCACCCCACAGTGACACACTTCCTCCAATAAGGCCATACCCATTCCAACAAGGCCACGCCTCCTAATAGTGCGACTCCCTATGAGATTATGGGGGCCAATTACATTCAAACTACTACAGAAATAAATGATGCCCAGCCCTCTAAGAGTACAGTATATAGCTTACTGTGGTAACTAATAAGGAGAGAAAAGTAACTTAATTTTAATTTAATATAAATTTCCCATCCATCTTCTTAATTGAAGCCCCAAAGAAAAAGTCCCTTCAATTCTGGTAAAACTCTTCATCATTGTTAGTATTGGGTGGCTGTGGTTCTGTCATCAGGCCACTCCTGCAGTGTCCTCAGAGTGGTCACCAGCAATGCTGGAGGATTGGAATACTCTGGGAAGACCACAGAGGACAGATTCACACAGTCTGGATGTGATCTCTGTACACAGCTTGCTTCCCCACCAGGGTCCCTATTGGTCTAGCCTGAGCCTTCTGGGTCAGTTTCTGACCGAGATACCTGAAAAGGGAAGAGGCAGAAGAGATCTGTCACAGCTCTGGGGGAGGCAGGACATCTCAGAGACCTGAGTCGAAATGGAAGGTCCACCCTGGTAGGAAAGAAAGGGAGGTTGGGAGGTCTGACCAATGGTAGAATTTGGGGTATCAGGGTGTCAGAGCCCCAGCTGAACTCTCCAGGCCTGTCAGCACGAGCTGAGCAGAGCTGCAGACCTCTCTGTTGTGAAACCTCAAGTGGTCAGTGGCAGGTATAGCTCCTTGCCTGGACAGAACTGGCAACTTCAAAATGCTCTTGTCACATCTTACTCTCCGGCACACTTCATTCCATCGGCTCCAGGGTAACCCTGACAAAAGCAAAGTTCTAGCTCATGCATGTCTGTGACCCTGAGTTTCCCATCAAAGGAGATAAACCAGTTTATGCTGCCTGAAAAGATGCTGCAGCCAATGCCGATTATAACGGCTAACACTGAGGTTTCTCCAGGCAAGGTACGCGTAAGCACTCTGTCATCAGTCACAGCACAGCAAGGACGGTCCTGTCTTTGATCCACTGTACAGTGAGACGCCAGGGCCAGGAAACCGAGATTGCACAACACAAAGTGGCAGAACCAGGCTCGAATCCAGATCTTAAGCCCATGCTCTCGGCTCCAAACTCTGCCACCTACATTCATTTTATTTATGCGAAAGCTAGAACCATGGTGAAATCACTGCCTGTACAGATTCTGCTATTGCCATGAGTTAGTGTGGAAACCGGAGAGTCATCAGCTCAATTCTCTAACAGACACTGTTTTGCCTTTGTGTGTGTATATGTGCTTGTGTTCCAGAAAGTTCCATGGCTATAACTCCCTGAAGGAATATTATGAGGAAGAAAGCTGCATGAGATACCTGCACAGGGTGAGTGGCTGTCCCGTCTCAGAGTCAGAGTCACCCCAAATCAGTGTCACCATGGCCCCATGTCACCCCAAATCAGTGTCACCATGACCCACCTTAGAGTCAGTTTCACGGGGGCCAGCTCTGCCCATGACAACAAATACCCTTCCTGAGTTCGCTGGTGGAAGCAGAGCGAGCGTTTGACCAACATCACTCTAGTTCATCACTCAGATTTCCCACTGAGCCGGCTGCCCGCGCTGTGACTCCCATACTCTAAAGCCCAGAGCTGTACTCAGACACGCAGGCTTCTCTCAAGGATGAAATTGCCTGCAGCATGGAGTTTATCCTTAGACATCCTTTGACAGTACAATAATAAAAACACCCATTTCTGGTGTGGTTTTTCACGGGAGATCCATCTGGCTTTCTTTCTGCCCTTGAACCTGTCTTGTGGCTGTACATATCTTATTAGCATGCCTTCTAGGACTGCACTCCCGGATTTCTGCCATGGTCTGGTAAACACAGAATAAATTAGGTGGAGTTCTGTATCAAAGTGATAAGGAACATGCCTTCTGAAACATGTAATAGGCATAGTAGATGCACCTGCGGTAACCAGTACTCAAGAAGCTGAGGCAGGAGGATTGCTGTGAGTTGGTAACAACTTGGGGTACATAGCAAGGACCCAGCCAGCCAGAAATATATTGAAAGACCACAACTCAAATAGAGAAAGAAGGCTAGCAAGATAGATAGCTCAGCAGGTGAAGGCGCTTGCCACCAAGCCTGGTATTCTGAGTTCAAATCCCAGGGCCCACATGGTGGAAAAAGAGAAGTAACTCCCCAGTTGTTCCCTGACCTCTCATCCATGAACACAAACACACACACACACACACAGAGAGAGAGAGAGAGAGAGAGAGAGAGAGAGAGAGAGAGAGAGAGAGAGATACACAAATCAATGCAATAAAAAGTTAAAGGTGACTGATTTTGACCTGTTCTTTTAAACAGCTACAGCAAACCTTATGTTTACCAAGTTTGTGGCAAACACAACGCCCATGTTTTTACCTGAACCAGCACTGAGCCCGTCTCTCATCCTGCCATGCACCATTGCCCTTATGCCAACACACAGCTCCCGTTTATGAGTGTCCCTGTGCCCGACCCCCTGATCCTCAGCTCATGGGGATGGTTGTGAATTATAGCTCTGTGACTGTCTTGGTTGTGGGTTCTCCTGAGTCAGCATCATTTGACATGCCAGAGTTCCAGGAGAGCACAGGCATTTCGTATGTCAGGATAGCAGTTCAGGAAGGTCTGAGTGCACCCATCAGCATCACCTACACTGGAAACCAAAAGGAGGCTCTTATCATCTGTTTTACTAATGAGCAAACTGAGCACAGTCCTGCCAAGTGTTCCCTGATACCCACCAACCCACTCCTATTTGTTTGTGCAGTTTTGTTAAAATGCCGCTGAAGGGATCTACCACTGAGTGACATCTCTAATGCTTGGTTTTTTGAAATAGGGTCCTGAGATAAAGACACATAGGTAGACAGACAGACAGACAGACAGACAGACAGACAGGCAAAAAGATACATACATGCTTACATACATACAGACAGACACATAGACAGATACATACATACACACATAGATAGATGCATACATACATATATACATATATATAGATAGATACACAGATAGATAGTAGATACATACAGATAGATAGATATATAGATAGATATTAGATACCTATATATACATAGACACATATATAGATACATACCTACATACACAGACAGATAAATAAATAATAGACAGACAGACAGATACACACACAGACTCTTGATGCTGTCATTTTTCTGGGAAATGTGGCTAATCCAAAACACTAACAATAATCAGAAACACTTGTGAGTGGCATTAAGTACACACTGAGCCCAGTCTCCCATGAGCACAGAGGTCTCCTGGGGCACTGGCAGCTGCGCTCCTAACTGTACCTGCTGCGGGGTGGTGATCACAGCAGACTTGTCACTCATCTCGCTTCCAGTGACAGCGAGGCACCCCAAGGCTCCAACCCAGCAAGCGGAGCTGTGAGCATTTCCCTCTGCTTCAAAGGCGTGTCCGGTAGGGAGCGGGCCATGCAACTCCGGTTTTCCTTCTTGCTGTAGATATACGTGCCTCTTATGCTGGTGAATGCAGCTGACGACCCCTTGGTGCACGAAAGCCTTCTAACCATTCCAAAGTCTCTCTCAGGTGAGTTTCTTCCCACTGTGTCCCCAGCCACACAGTGGATTACCACTGTAAACTTTGTCACCTCCGCTGTTCTCTGGAGGGAGGGGCAGCTCATTGATAGTCCTAGACTTCCATCCTGGTGCAGGAGACGGGACCGTTCTTGATGCCCATCACCAAGAGAGTGGTCTGTAGCAGCGTCGTCTCATAGCTGTCATTCCGTTAAATGGGAGAGCCTGACTGAAAGAGATATTTGGAACTAAAATTTGCCCTAAAAAGCAAAACAAAAAAACCAAAAAAACAAAAACAAAGCCAATTCTGCTTCCTCTGGTGACAGACAGCTCCTCCATCTGCCTGGACGTTATAGGCAGCTGAAGTGGCAGAGAACGTTGCTCACAGAAACCATGCAGACTTAACCCATCCTGTGTCGGCACTACAGGGAAGGCAGAGAGAGGAAAGACTGGGGTTCCAGTTATTTCGAATTGCAGTTTCCGATCCCTGGGGTATCACAGTCCTCTATGATTCCGTTTCCCCCGTAAATGTCATAGCCTAAAGAAAGAGCTAACCCTGCCCTTGCACCACAGCAGCAGAGGAGGGCTTCCGCCTCACAGGGCTTCTGTGCTGCCCAGGAGAAAGGCTCCTGTCAACCCCCCAGCCACCCTGTGGACTCCCAGCACACCACACCACAGCCCACTCAGCCACGTGCAACAGCGCTTATCTCCCGGCCGGAAAGTAACATCGACAGGACTAACGCTGTCCCGCAGAAATGTGCAAAATAGCAACTAGAAAGGAAGGGTGGAGGGAGTGAGACATGAGTCCAAGTCCAGCCTCAGGCCCTCAGCTCTCAGGGTAGACATTTAGCGCCTGGCACCGGGAGCCTGGGCATCTTTTTTTAAAGATTTGTGTGCATGTATATCAGTGTGAGGATGCTCTGGAATGGGAGTTACAGACAGTTGTGAGCTGTCATGTGGGTGCTGGGAACTGAACCCATGTCCTCTGGAAGAGCAGCCAGTGCGCTTAACCACTGAGCTACCTGGCCTTCATCCTGAAGGTTGATGCTCTGTGCTCTCTTTTCTCTCGGATCACCTGCACACTTTAGTGCTGTGACCCATCCTCTGAGCCTTCCCACGCTTGGAGTTGGATATATTTCAGTAAGATACCCTGAGGAATCCAGGAACACAAAGCTGGGAAGCACAGCCAATCAGCTGGGGCTCTTCAGCATCAGCCAATCAATCAGCTGGGGCTCTTCAGCATCAGCCAATCAATCAGCTGGGGCTCTTCAGCATCCCCAGCACAGCGTTGGCTCCCCTCGCTCGCTCTCTTTCACCCCTAAGGCTGTAACTTAGTCATGTGGAGGTCGGGGCGCAGCTTGGGTTTATAGAGCTTTAAGAATGAGTTCTAAGATCTTCTGAAGCCGGTGCCCTTTTGGCAGTGCTGGAGACTGAACTCTGGGGGTTTTCGTAGGCTAGGGCAGTGTTTTACTGTTGACCTGCGCCCCCAGCCTTTTTGGTGCCCGTTATCCGCCAGGCTCATGAGGTCCGTCCGACTTGCCTGCCCACTTGAGAAGAGACAGCACAGTGAGCAATGGTTGCATGCCCACTTAGGTGCCCTCTGGGGAATGCCCACCTCCCCAGCTCTCTCACCTTTCTCTGGAGTTAAGAGGATGCTGTAATTCTGCTGCCTTTCCCCCACAGAGAAACGGGAGAATGTCATGTTTGTGCTGCCTCTGCACGGGGGCCACCTGGGCTTCTTCGAGGGCTCCGTGCTGTTCCCTGAGCCACTGACGTGGATGGATAAGCTCGTGGTGGAGTATGCCAATGCCATTTGCCAATGGGAAAGGAATAAGTCCCAGTGCTCAGACACCGAGCAGGTGGAGGCGGAGTTAGAATGAGGCCTCTGGACTCTGGCGTGTTCCCGCAGCCCTCCTCTGGAACCCACGGCTGTTTCAGGTCTCCCCTCTCCCCCAGTGACCTGGATCTGACCTCATACCATCAGTGGGGGCCACCCATCATGCACCCTGTCTCAAGTAGGCAGCTCTCCCTGGGAGCTCCAGGCTATTTTTGTGCTTAGTTACGGGTTTTCTCCATTACATTGTTAGCCATGGTGACAAGCTACAAGATTCTCACCTTTCTGTCCAGTTTCAGTATCTGATTGCTTTCACGCCAGTTACATCTAATTTTCCTACTAAGGAGCGCATCCGAACTGCAGTTTCCCTTTGCCAATCAAAGGCCTTTCCCTGAGAACCGTGAAGGATGTGTGTGTCACTTTGTGACAGTTGTGTGTGCCCTCGTAGAGTCTCCAACAAGAAGTCAGCATCCCTGACCAATGCTGAAGAAATGACTCAGCTTTGGGAGCCTGAGAGCCTGGGGCCTCCTGGGCCTGAGTTTTGCCTCCAAAACAAAAGAGATTCCCTGAGTCTAAAGCCAATTCCTTCTCACCATCTCCCAAGACACCTTCCTCCCACCTTGCTGCTGCTGAGAGTTGCATGGGGCATTTGTCTAAAAATTCAGCCTCCCAGATCCCTCCCCTTGGAGACGCTGACTCGGTGGGTTTGGGAAGGGGCCTGGGGATTTTAATTTTTGACAAGTGCCCCAGGGAATTCTCATCACCCAGCAAACTGAGGGAAACACCATACTACAGCGCCTTTAAATTAGAAACATCTTGGTGGCTCATTTAATTGACACTCATAAGACACAGTGTCTCTTTGCTCTCAGAGACCTCCAAAGCAGCAGGGCCTGTTGTATGACTGCCTTTGTGTGATATCAGTGTGGTGTCCCTAAGAGGGGGAAGGCGTTTGGGCTTAGCCCTAGCTCTGTTTCTCCCCGGATGTATGACCCTGGACAAGTCCCTTTGGACTTGACTCTCTTCCCTTACCAGGTAGACTGCCGAGATGACCACCAGTTTAAAGTTCAGTGACAAACTCAGTGTACTGAGGTCTGAGAGAACATCCCTCTGAGGGAGCCTGGGAGTCTGTCTTCCCGGGCTGAGCATGCAAACCAGGCCTTGCAATGTTCCCCTTCCCCATTTAATATAAAGAGATTTCAGAGTCTTAATCACTCGCTCGTCATTTTAGTTTCTCAGCCCAGGGTCCGCCTAACTCTGGGTTTTGATACCAAATGACTCAAAAGTTGGATCTGAGTTTGAAGAAATGTATGTCCACCTGAGAGGAGAGGCTGCTCTTTTGAAGCCGGTTTGTAACTAAATAACCTCCGGGTTGTCTGTTGGGTAGATATTTCCAAAATGTCTTCTTGAGTGGACATGCCACTCTAGCTTCAAGTACTCTTCTGGAATCCATGTGGTACTTGAATCTCTAAGAACCTGCACTTTGAAAAATCAGCAGTTGCTCTCGAATTAAATGAAACTGTGGGTGAATTGCCTGGATACTGTTTAAAAAAACAAAATTGTTTTCTCTGCTTCATCTCCTTTGGCTCCAGGACAGACTGAAGTATAGTAGTGAGTCTGTACGGATATTTAAGGAGCCACCTGTGTACCCGAATGCCAATCCTCAGGGCCCCGGGCGGAATAGAGAGTGTGGGCATTGGCCCAAGAGACTGTAACAGGAACGTCTGTGGATTGAAGAACTGTTTTCTGACAATCACTAGATCATCCCATAACACTGTACGTGGACATTCTCCCGGAAGACTGAGCTGTCTGGGTCTCCAGCTTGCTTTGCTATAATTTCTTCACATTCACCAAATTATGTCACTGTGCCCCTCCAATGGTTGTCACTTTCTCTGTTGCATGTCTTTTTTTTTTTTTTATGTTCTCTTAGCACAAATTGGCACTTTATTATCCATTCCTCAATTTGGAAACTAATCCTCACTGTCAGTTTCCCTCCACCCAACCGCAGCTATTAGAAGACTCACATAGTTCCTGTTGCTGCCTTTAGCCCTGAAGACAAATTTTAAAGAAAGCAATAAGGGGATAGAGTTGAGTCATGGTCCCCAGAAGTAAGCGCCTCTCTTCGTTTGCCTGAGGTCATCTCTTTCCAAGTCCTGACAAAGCAGTAGCTTGGGTGCCACCTGCTTCAGAGAAAAGTCGCCCTATTGTCACACTTGGGAGGAAGTGGGAGACTGTCCTGTCTTTACAGCAGTCCTGGAGACTCACCCAGGAGAGGCAGAGCTGGGCCACAGCCTTTGTTGCCACACTGCTGGTACTCCAGCCCCCAGGACTGGGGGAGGGGACATGTGCCAGCTGAAACCTCCTTGGTGTGTGGCTCTGAATGGCACTGGTGTCCCATTTTGCTTCACATGAAATCAACTGAAGCTCTTTATTCAAGCTTTGGGCTCTCAGACATGGAAATGAGACCGTGACCATGGCAGTCTGACAGGAAAATGCTTGTTTGACCCTGAGTGAGAGCACAGAGGCCTGAGTGTGAGGAGCTTGTCTAATGAACGAGGGAACAGCCCTCTATGTAGGTCAGCCTCTTTCTTTCCTCTGGGCTCCCTTGCTTTCTTCCCAAAGTCGTCCGTTTCCGATAATGATGTGAACTGTCTGCTGGCTATCAAGGACTTACTCAGAACCAAAGGCCAAATTTTTAGAGAACATTTGAATATTCTAAAGATCAAGGACATAAATTATATGGATCTAGACCATTCTATAGCACTATAGCAGGGATAGCATTAAAACCCAAGTGAGGAAAGCATCCACATTACTCTAGCTGTGTCTCCTGCCTCTCACATAATTGGAAGACATTATCTTTGGTCAACTTAGAGTAACCTAGCTTGAAAAAGAGATAATCAAGACTGGGTAGTTAGCAGACAGTTTTCCCAGACTACGATGACTGCATCATCCATTCCTGAGCTGAATGAAGGTGACAAGTTTGTTGTGTTGTCCATATTCTTTTCATTTCTGTGGCATCTTACAGTTGCAGGGAACCTGAAGTGTTCTTGAAAGGGAAGTCTTCCTTTATCCCCATGGTGTTTCATACCCAGGGTCAGGAGGCCTGTGTGTGTGCCCCCCCACACCTCCCACACCCCCGCTCTAACTCACTTTGGACCTGAGCAAGTCACTGCACCTTTCTGAACCTGTTACCTCATTCTACATCATCTCTGAGACTGTTTCGTCCATTTACGGATCATTTTCTCAGTCATTGCCAAGTAAAAACAGGTGAATCGAGACCCATCAGTTCATCTTGAGAGGACTCGGAGAGAAGGCGCGTGCGCGGTCAGCTTTTCCTAGTTAGGACTCTGGATGGAATCCAAAGCCATCTTTGGCCTCTCTTTCTTGTCTTCACCACTAAGACAGTTTCCTCGATATTCTGAGCATAGTCCCGTGACTGTGGCAGGTGAGGGCCACCGGTAATAAGTAAAGTACCTCCGTCCTTCAGTGTGACCAGGCAAAGCATGGACCGTTGCCAGGACAGAGTCCTTCCTGTACAGGCTCATTCTGAACCCAGGCTGTACTCCGTGGCTGAGCCTTCTGGGTAGCTGAGCTTATATGGCTGGCATCCGGATGAGAGCTCTCTTTGTAAGTGGCTGACTTGAGAGAGAGTTTGCCAGCTCCGGGGATACAGTACATGTGTTCTTGTTTGTGTTTGCCCCGGAAGCAGGTGTCAGAGATGTGAGAGGCTTTTCTTTTCCCGTGGCCTTGATTCTGGCTTAGAGTGACATTTTTAAAAGAAGAAGAAAAAGGAAAAACAAAAACAAAAATATGTGGAGTTGGAGGAAGTCCTGGGGCTTCCTCCTTGAGACACACAGGAAAGTCGTTAGGAAGCATGTCACTTCAGCGTCCTGTCACGGTGTTTCATCTGGAATTGTTTTCCTTACCCAGAAAGCCTTAACTTGCCTCTAGAAAATCCCCTGGTATGACAACATTGTGGCGTAAGAATTCAAACTCTTCTTACTCTGAAAGTTTGAGGCAAAGCCACAGCCAAACCAGAGAATTTCCTCAGGTGGCCTGGAGGCTCCTGTGACGTCACCCCCACCTCTCCCCTCCAACAACGTGAGTGGTGTGGAACAACCCTGTCACCTGTCCTCTTTGCCTTACTCCTCTCAAAGCCACTTTGGATCACCCAGATGCATCCAGAAGGGGCCTGCTCAGCACCCAGACACCAAGCAGTTGAGGGCCAGGTTTCTTCCACCTGGTATCTAAGCAAAGGACAGTATCCCCTCTTCATATACTAGGGTGTTTTTTCCTAAACTATATTAACAGCTAAGGACACAGGAACAGGCCCCTGCCGACTAACAGAACGGCATTGAGAGCAAAGGCTGCCCCGCCAGCCTGTCTCTGCTGCCTCCTGGTGCTTTGCTACAGCCCAGCATCCTCTGGTAGTGGTCCTTAGAGACAGGCCACACAGTCCAGCTCGCCAACAGTCCCCAGACACCCAGAACATAGACAGCTGTCCCTTTTGGAAAAGTCCGTCCTCCGTGTTTTCCAAACTGTCTTCCTAGCATGTGTGTAGTTAGAGCTTTCACCGATGCCTAATAAAGAAGCTGAAATTAATTTCTAATTGGTAGGTTAAATCTGGCACCCTGAGTCTCGTGAAAGTCCTCAGCCTTTAACTAGACTCCTGTCAGTTAGTAACAAATTCCATAGCCTTCTGTCTCCCCATTCTGGTCCCCTTTAGGCAAGTAATCTTCTATTGTCATAAGCTGGGGACAGGCCACTTCTGGCGCCTGCAGAAGTACCCTTCACCTCTGGGCATTCTACCCCCAGACCACACACACAGCAGGCAACATCACCTAAAAGAAAAAGAAATTGCCAACCTCCTTGGTCCTCCGGGGCCAACCACTGTTCTCCCAGGTTGCTCTCACGAGGGAACCCAGTTCCTGGCTAGACTCACTTTGGTCTTCATTTTGGCCTCTTTAGTTTTCCTAAAGCACAAGGCTGTGTAGAATCCTGTCACCTCCCCATCCCCACACCCATTCCAGGTGACCTGGGTCTCTCCTGCAGCCTCAGGCTCAGGTCACTGGACCTGGGCTTGCAACTTCCCCACTGCCTCTGCCTTAGTGACCCGGGGCTAGGGTGGGGGAGGGGCCAGCTCGCCTCCCTCCTTTTCCTAGGTAAACTCCAGCCAACCACAGTCTTAAGCTGGCACATCTGCTTCCAGATTGATTTTCAAGAACCATCACTCTCACATTCCTGATTCTAGTTCACTTTGCTTTGCCCTCTCTGGGTTTTACGGAACTCCAGATGCTGCCCCGGAAATACTGTATCTCGGAGTCCGAGCTCTGAAAGCCCCTGCCTGTGCCGCTGTGTCCTTCGACTCCTCCAGCAAGGCGTTTCGGACCTGCAATTAGCAATGCAACTTTTTCTAACCACGACGATATTCACCTTTATTAAGAAATTATAGTACACAATGGCGTCCTTGATTGTTTTATGTTCTCACATTACTTTTGATCCTACTTTGATTCTGTGTGGTGGTGAACAAAGATCATTACAAACAAAAGCTGTAATTTTGTTATCTTTGATTCAATGGGATTTCTTTACTTAAAAAAAATAAAAGACTTAAAAATGTAGAGTGTTTGTGTGTGCTTTGTATAGTGAGGGGCTTCTACGTAAAAAGGGTGCGTCTGGGGGGCCAAGAGGTGGCTCGGTGCATAAAGTGCTTGCTTGAGGACCTGAGTTCGGATCCCCAGCTCCCAAGGCAGGTGTGGGGTCCATGCCTGTAGATTATAAAGCTAGGAGGCAGGCATGGGAGGGTCCCTGGGGCTTACGTCTGGTTGTTCTACCTACCTGACTCTAACTCCAGAGACCCAAAGGAGAGAGTGACAGAGGAGGACATATCGTGTTGATCTTTAGCGTCTGCATGAGAGCACACACGCCGTGCATACAAGCACACAAAGGGTGTTTCCTGTGTCTGCATCAAAGCCCAGGGCTCAGTGGCAGTGCACAGAACGCCCATTTCCTAAGTGATGTTAAACCAGCCCTGCAAACAAATACCAGATGTGACCACGTTCTGCGAAAAGACCAAGTGAGATTCAGCTAAGTCAAGGTCCAGTCGGGGTCATCGTGTAGTTGAGTGTTTGTTGCATAGTTGTAGTGTTTGTTGGTAGTTGTAGTGTTTGTTGCATAGTTGTAGTGGTTCCTTCCCTTGGTTTTCTAGAAACAAGGATCTCACAGAGCCTGGGCTCCTCTCAGTCTCACTCTCTATGTAAGGATGTCTCTAGATCCTGATCTTCCTGCCTCTGCCTCTCACGTGCTGGTCACAGGCATGCACCACCACCCAACTTGGTGATGAGGTTTTCCTCTACTCTGAACCTGTCTTAACCTGAGCAAAGGGCCTCCGGGGCCAAACGCTGGCTTAGCCGGGGGAACTGCATCACCTCAGAGCCTTGTGTTTGAGCCTTCCTTCTTCCAAGTTTATGCAAACCTTTTGACAAGCTAGGCAGTGAGTGCTGGCTTTGGAAGGTGCAGATTACCAAGACCCCAGAATTACCACGTTTTAGATTGCCCCTCACCCTGTCCTGTCACTTATAAAGCACTCTATTTTGACTTAAGAACCAGCTTGTAAAGAATGCTGCCTAAAGGGCTGAGGACTTAACTCACAAATGGAGCACTTACCTGGCAAGTGCAACGCCCTGCTCCAGCCTCCACCACCAAAAAATGAAATGTGGGAAAGAAACTACTGCCAGGCTGGAGAGATGGCTCAGCAGTTGAGAGCACTGGCTGTGCTTCCAAAGGACCCAGGTTCAATTCCAGCACCCATGTGGCAGCTACCGTTTGTAACTCCAGTTCCAGGGGATCTGACGTTCCCTTTTAGCCTTCATGGGTACAGCATTCGTGTGGTGCACAGATATACGTTCAGGCAAAACGCACATGTAAAATAACAAAAAGATTAAATGGGAAAGATTTCGGGTCTGGGATGTTAGGGGAGTGGATGCCAACAGCATATCATTTGCCACACCTTTCCTGGGCAGCAGGTTGGCATTTGTGCTCGGTGCCACTTCTGACTCCCAACAGGATGTATTTTCCATTATACCTTTCCCAAACAGCCCCTTCAGACGGTCCTATTGAGAGGAAGTAGGAAGGACAGATGGTGGCATTTGTATATCCTGTAGTATAAGGACACATTTGTGTTCTACACTGTAGAAAGAAGTCCACACGTGTGTGTTATTAATAGCGTAGCACAAACTGTTAATGCCCTGTTCTACATCAACCATGTACTCAGGTGCCCCCGGGGAACTGCAAGGCTGATAGCAGGAAGTACTATCTAGATTTGTGTTCCAAGATGCCACCTGAGTCCCGGAGAGCCAAAGTGAGGGAAGACAACACGGGATGGTAACAAGAAAGGCACAGGCAAAAACCTCAGAAATGTGATTGACACCTTACCAGAGGAACAGAGCCAAGCTCTGCAAAGACTGTCTTTATTCCTCCTGCCCATGCTCATAAAGCCTGCTGGCTAGAGATGAATCTAAGAGAGCTTTTTAAAGATGTTGAATCTGCTGCCTTGTCAGATTTCCCACTCTGAATAAAGCACAATGTGAAGATTCAGTTCCTGGGGCTGGAGAGATGACTCAGGTGAAGAGCTCCTCCTGCGTTTGCAGAGGACTCCAGTTCAGTTCCCAGCACCCACATTAGGTAGTTCACAATGACCTGTAACTCCAGCTCCACAAGATCAACACCCTATTCTGATTTCCACAGCTACCTACACACACAATTTTAAAAATAAATCTTTTCTTTCTTGGTATTCATGTTACACTGTTATATTTCCCATGATGAGGACCCAATGTCTAGCTGAATGGCCCTCCATATTGTCCCCACACCCTTGTGTGTGCGTGTGTGAGCATGTGTGTGTGTGTGTGTGTGTGTGTGTTTCCCTAAGGGCAACTTACAGGAACTGACCACTTTTATGGAATACATTGCAGGCATGGTGACACACACTTTTAAATCCTGTTTAATTCTGTGATTTCAAGGCCAGCCTGCTCTACATAACAAGTTCCAGTCTAGCCAGGGCTACATAGTGAGGTGCTGTGTCGCACCCGCCTCGACCAGCAAGGAAGACGCAACGCCCAGACTCTTTTTTAAGCAGTTTATTCAGGAAACCTTGAACAATCTTCTTTTCCCGGGGAGCGCCAACCCACAGCTTAAAAGCCCTTGGGCAGCCAACCCCAGTATGCCACGTGGAACATGCAGATAGGTCCACGTACTCGGAAGCAAGCCTGCTATCCAGCCTTAACCAAATACAGGTGTTGTTTATCACAGAGAGCACCTGCTGTCGTGCTAGCAGAAGACGGAAGCCATCGCCATCTTAAGGGTGCAGCACTTCACAGCTCTCTACAGTGCTGTCTCAAAAAAATAACCTTTTAAAAAGACATTGCAGGCAATTGACTGAACTGCATAGCCTTTCCCCAGAGAAGACAAAGTCCTCTCTCCTTGTGACTCTGGGCCACACCCAGAATGTCCTTCTGATGTTCTTGTTGGGAGTACCCAGCATTCCTACTGAACATATACTCCAGTTTTCTCTTCAAGTTATTGTCTCCTTTATCTTGTGACTGGGAAATGAAGTTCTCACATCACCATTCCTCGTCCCTTTCGCTGTCTGTGCCTCTCCCATGCCCAGATTATAATGAATAAGTTAAGTAAGGCCAACAATAGAGAGAGGCTAAGCGTGGGTAGTAGCAGAGTCAAAGGGATTTGGAGGCAGAGTCTCATGGCAGCCACTTCCGGGCCCTTTGACGCTGAGCAGGAATTAGTGTTAGATTTTGATATTTCTAGTGAAGATAAAAACAATAATGCCTACATCTTGGTCTTGGTGGCATGGCACATGCATTTAATTCCAGCACTCAGGAGGCTGAAGCAGGAGGATTGCTGAGTTTAAGCCTAGGATGGGGTACATAATAAAACCCTGGCAAGTAAATACATGGCAATTGAAAGAGTCAAGTAATATTTTCATAGTTTCTGAGTTACTTCTTTACTTTTATGATCATTGTGTTTCGCCTGCATGTATCTCTCAGTGAGGGCGTCAGAAGCCCTGGAACTGGAGTTACAGACAGGTGTGAGTCACCACGTGGGTGCTGGGGATTAAACCTGGATCATCTGGAAGAGCAACCAATGCTCTTAATCACTGAGCTGTCTCTCTAGTCTCATCTTGTGTTATTTTTAGCTTGGATCACCTGGTTCTTTCAGGATAGTGTAGAACTTGATGTTTTCCCACGGTCCAGCTCTGTCCCAGAACATCTAAAACTGAGAGGCCCAAGGACAAAGCAGAGAGAAACCTGGGTATGTAATTACTAGAACATTCCTGGGCTTGGAGATCTGCAGAACTGCAGTTGGGCACCCCAGTCCCATACTTTTTCTTCTTTATGTATAGAGAAAGCACAAGGCTGACTTGAGGAACAAACTTGACAGACAAGGAGAGAGAGGCACCATGACTAGGAAATAAAGGCAAAGAGCTTCCAAGGTGGCCTCTTCCTCCTCCTCCTAATCTGAGACAAAAGCCTGGCATCTTAAAACAAAGGCCTTGTGGTCTCCAGCTGGCGTACTAATTCAGTAATTCCCAGACTTTATCAGGGCACGTCACACAGATTTGTCACACACAGTTGTGGGCCAATCATCATCCCATCTACTTCAAACTTGCCAGCCTTAAACCAAGAGAGAAAACTCTTCAGAGACTTAAAGATCTCCAGCCCTCAAGAAGAGACTCCATGTTTTGGCTTTCTGAGCCTCCCCTGCTTGGTGAGAGAGGGTTGTGGTGTGTGTTTGCTGCCTGTGTGTGCTCCCTCGGCTGTCTGCTCCTGTTTGCTGTGTTTGAGATTTCTTTCCAGCCTTCTCATTCTACAGCTGGCAGAGAAAACTGACTGGATCAGGACCCCAGACTCTCACAGGCTCATCCACATGCACAAGTGTAGTTCCACCCAAGTCACTGTGGAACCTGGAAACAGCGATGACTGGCTGGGACATCGGACCAAGCACAGCAGAGCTCTGCATGGTTGGGAATGTGGCTCACACAAAGCCCTGGGTTCCAGCACTACACAACCAGGCACTGCAGTCACGTCTGGGACATGGAGGCAGGAGGAGCTGGTTTAAGGTCATCTTCGGCTGCATAACAACTTTAAGGCTAGTCTGGATGACATGGGTTCCTGTGTTTAAAAAATAATCTGGGTAGAGTGAAACCAGAATTCTCCCCACTCCCTAGAGGATCCTAGTGGGCAGAGGTTACAAGCTGCTGTGTTGGAAACTTTGATGTGTTCTTGAATGTTCAATCCCCTGGAAGTCTTTGTTTATTTGTTTGTTTGTTTGTTTGAGATGGGGTTTCTCTGTGTAGCCTTGACTGTCCTGGAACTCATGCTATAGAACTCACAGAGATTCACCTGCCTCTGCCGACTGAGTGCTGGGATTAAAGGCATGCGCCACCACACCTGGCTTTGGAAGTCTTGTTTCAAATGCAGGTTCTGATTCAGTAAGTCTAAGTGTAGCCTCAGATTCTGCAGTCCCGGCAGGCTCCCAAACAGAGCAATGCTGACTTCCTTGGAGCACCCCCTTTGAATGGAGGTCCTGTAAGTTTCAGGGGAGCTCGCAAGCTTCCAGGTTCAGAGCTGTGCCCTCCTCACCCTGAGAAGCAGGAGTAGAGTGGTCCAGTGCGCCCCCTTGGTGTGTCTCCATCTCTTCCCCTAGCTGGCTAAGACATGGCGTCTTAGAGAAGCCTTAGTCAGAACAGGCTGCACTGGTCTACTGTGGTGTCTCTAGGTTCCAGGCAGTGGCCAACTCAATTCAGGGTCTCTGAAGCAAGGACTCCCTCTCTGTCCACACCTGATGAGTAGCCCCCAGAATACGCTGTCCAAATTCTCTGAAGGTTCGCACACAAGGAGGGTAGAAATACACAGCTGCTGTCTTCCAGCCCATACCCTGCTCTAATCAGTTTGTGGCCAAGTCCTGCCAGATGTCTCCAGAAGGATGCTATTATATGGACCAAATGGTTGTCATAAACTTCTGTTTCTTTGTTCCCATTCCTGTGGCGTTCAAGAGTATTTTATCGTCTTTCCTATATCTCATTAGTGCAGGAGGGTGGGACACTTGTGGAATCGCAGATATGGGGGCGGGGCGCTCCGATCTTACAGGGCTGAGAAAGTCAGATTTTAGCATCCTAATGGCAGCCCACCTTTCCCAGACAAGGCTTAGCTGGCAGCCCCACTGCCCATCACCTCCACCTTTCCTGTCCGTGTCCCAGGGCTGTGCCATGCAAGGCCAGCAGGGGGCAGTGTGAACACATAGCAGCCTCACTGGGTCCCAATGTTATGGCTTCTCCCACAAAAAGCCACTGGGTTCTCTTGTTACGAGGACCTCTGAACTAAGTCTATGCCTTGCTGACTTCAGATGGATCCCAGTATCCTCTTGGAGCTCAAGTAGGACTGAGAGCTCCCTGGCCACAATTCCTGGCCAGATCTACCTGCAATGTCCTCCCTATCCTTATAAATAAGTTGGAGCTACCACAATACAGCAAGCCTATCCAAGAAAGAGATATCCAACACTATAAGTCACTGTTCTCTCAGGCTTGTAATATAATGCTAGCAAAACAATTAGAAGTGTGAGAGGTAGGTGGGTGAGTGTGTGGGGTGTGTGTGTGTGTGTGTGTGTGTGTGTGTGTGTGTGTGTGACTAGGCAGCCGTGGCTGGCCTGGAACTTATTATGTAGACCAGGCTGGCCCCTGCTTCTACCCCAGAGCTCTAGTTTTTATTCTTGTTTTTTGTTTTGGTTTGGGGGGTTGGTTTGTTTGTTTGTTGAGACAGGGTTTCTCTATGTAGCTTTGGAGGCTGTCCTGGAACTACCTCTGTAGACCAGGCTGGCCTCGAACTCACAGAGATCCACCTGCCTCTGTCTCTCGAGTGCTGGGATTAAAGGCGTGCACCACTGCCAACACCACCACCTAGCCAGAGCTCTAGCATTAAGCATACATACATGCCACCACACATCAGAAGTATGACTTGAAAACAAAAATGCTCATTTCTCAGAGGTAGGGCAATTGTTCAGTGGGTAAAGTGGTCCCATGCCCAGAAGATTCAGTGGTGCCCTATGAGGAAACTACGTGTTCAGCAAGCAGGAGCTCTAACAGGAATTCTCACACACTCTCAAAAATCATTATGTATTTGTGGAAGCCAGCTCCCTAGGAGGAAAGCATTTGTATTCATCAAAACTTGCAGATTTGAGAAATGTAAGCTGTACTGACTAGTTTTATGTCAGCTTGACCCAACCTGAGTCCTTTCAGAAGAGGGAACCTCAATTGAGAAAATGTACCCACCATATTGGCCTGCGGGCAAGCCTATGGACCATTTTTTTTTTTGACTGGTGGATGATGAGCAAGAGCCCAGTTCACTGGCTGGGGGTCCTAGGTGCTACAAGAAAACAGGCTGATCAAGCCATGAAGAATAATAAAGACCTGAGTCAGGAAGTCCAGCATCCTAGGTGGGTATAGTGGTGTCTTCCTGTAATCCCAGAGCTGCGGGGTGGAGACAGAAGGATCCCTGGGACTTGCTGGTCAGCTCAGTCTAACTGAAACAGTAAATTCCAGGTTCAGTGAGGCCCTGTGTCTCAAAAAAAAGAAAGAAAGAAAGAAAGAAAGAAAGAAAGAAAGAAAGAAAGAAAGAAAAAGAAACAAGTTGGAAGACACTTAACATTGACCTCTGGCCTCGACACATTTATGCACAAGCAATTACACATATAAATGAATAATAGCCAGATGCAGTAGTGCACGCCTTTAATTCCAGCACTTGGGAGGCAGAGGCAAGCAGATCTCTGAGTTCGAGGCCAGCCTGGTCTACAAAATGAGTTCCAGGACAGCCAGGGCTACACAGAGAGACCCTGACTTAAAAACAAAAAAGTCTATGACTCAGTCAAATACCAGTTCCCTCAAAACCACTCCTGCAGAAGTCACCATGGTGACCCTCCCATCTTGACAAACGCTAGCCCCTATTGTCACTCACCTGGCCTGACATCCCTGGACATAACTGCAGGGTTCTCATTCTTGAAATGCCTTCCACTCCAGAGGGTCTGAAGAGATCCCTCAGGGTTAGGATTCCATACCAAAGTTCCATGTAAGATTTAGTTTGAAAAGGAATCTTCAGCTTTTTAAACTATGGCCAAAAGAAGCTGGGAGGGAAGTCCACACTGGCCAGCCTTCACCCTTCTGGCCACAGAATAATCATTTGTCCTCCCCCAGCTCAGAAGCTCTGTGTAAAGACCGTTGAGGACCCTGACTGACGACTGTGAATGCCATAAGGAAGGCAGCTTCTTGGGTAAAGAACACTAACTGTAAACCTTGTTATTGAAAGATGTAAGAAATAGGACAGGTTTAGTGAGATGAGTCATAGGGTAAAGAGATTTGCCGCAGAACTTCACAATCTGAGCTCAGTCCCCGAGACACACATGGTTTAAAGAGAGAACTGACTGCTACAAGTTGTCCTCTGACCTCCGCAGACACACTCACACACAACACACTCACACACAACACACTCACACACGTGTGCACACACTCAGGCACACAAACACTCACACACACACACACACACACACAAATGTAAAAAAATAATTTAATGAATCCATGTAGAGGCAGGAGGATTGCCACAAGTAAAATACCTACTTGGGCTCTAGGGTGAGACCCAGTCTTAAAAAAAAAGAAAGAAAGAAAACAAGATATGTGTATTCATATACGTATATGTTCATTTATACATGCATTTATTACAGTCTCACTGAAATTAAGAAAGAACTTGTGGGTCAGAGAAACTCTCAAAGGTGTGAAAGCAGATGGGATTTAACTGGCCTCAGAATTCAGGGAATAGCTGAAAGGCCCACAGTCTGTGTACAGGACCAAGAATTCCTCATGTACATAGGAAGCAATGACCCCACAGGCAGGAGCTTACCTTGGTGGAACACAGGCAATCAACCAGGCCAGTGGACCCTCCCCTCAGGCCGCCACCACTGGCCAGACAACAGGAATGAATGCCTGCTACTAGCTGGGAAAGCAAGGGCGCATCTTGGGGGAAGTAACAATCATTGCCGGCCTAAGGGGAAAATCACATGCCCAGCAAGCAGAGATTCTGACAGGAAGTCTCATTCAAAAGGAGGAGAAGGAGGAGGAGGAGGAAGAGGAAGAGGAGAAGGAGGAGGAGAAGGAGAAGAAGAAGAAGAAGAAGAAGAAGAAGAAGAAGAAGAAGAAGAAGAAGAAGAAGAAGAAGAAGAAGAAGAAGAAGAAAAGAAGACATGAAGACATGAGCTGATGAGCTGGGAGTTAGTAGCTCACACCTTTAGCCCACTCGGGAGGCAGAGGAGGGTGGATCTCTGTTAGTTCAACGCCAGTCTGGTCTGCAGAGTGAGTTCCAGAACAGCCAAGGCTACACAGAGAAACCCTTTCTCAAAAAACAAAACCGCAGCACTCAGAAATCACTGTGCACTTGTGGAAGCGAGCTCCATAAGAGGAAAGCATTTGTATTCATCAAAGCATGCAGACTTGGGAACTGTAAACTGTGCCAACTTGTTTTATATCGAGTGACACACCTAGAGTCTTTTTGGAAGAGGAAACCTTAATTGAGAAAGTACTCCTCTGGATTGGCCTGCAGGGGCCATTTTCTTGATTGGTGATTGATATGGGAGGCCCAGCTCACTGTGGGTGCTGCCACACTGGGCTGTGGTCCTGGGTGCTATAAGAAAGCGGGCTGATGAAGTCATAAGGAACCCGCCAGTGAGCTGCACAAATCTATGCCCTGTGCTTCAGTTCCTGCTTTGAGTTCCTGCCCTGCCTTCCCTGGATGATGGACTACAAACTGCCAAGATGAAATAAACCCTTTGCCAAGTTGCATTTGGTCACTGTTTTATCACAGCCATCAAAACCCTAAATATAAGCCATAAATTCATCATGAAAGAGCTTGACACAAGACAAAGAATAGCTTTATTTGTCTATCAAGGACTAAGTGCTCAGAGATGATATCAACTATAAATTTAAGTAAAACTCACCCAACAAGACAAAGAGAGCTTCGAGTGAAAGGAACCACACACCTAAGATAGGTGGGGAGGAAGGAGCATGACCTCCACCCCGGACAGACCCAAAGCTCTTAGCTCCTGGGCACTCAGCAGCAGACCACCCCCAAATGCAACTGTTCCAAGGCTGCTGCCTCCCTGCAATTCTGGGTGGGAAACCCCTACTGGTGCTGTGTTTGTTAAATTATTAGAGCTTCAAGCCTACCCCCTCTGTACAGAATTGTGAGTGGGCTTTCAATTCTGCCTTACATACCCTAAATATCAAAGTGATTACAAAGGAAATCATGAAGAAACCTAATTAGTCTTTGAAATTCAACTTCTTGCATGGTCATTGTCCTATAACTGCAGAGGTGGGTGGGACTACAACTCTCCTACAAGTCTCCTGTTTAAGGGCATTCCCCTTGACTCACTACCCTCCATGTCAGTTTGGGATGAGGTGCCTTCCCTCCTAAACCTAGGGAAGTCTGGGGAGACCACAATCACCCCAGGCATCCTTGTTCCCAGGCTTGGGTTAGAAAAGTCGAAGAAGGCCTAGGATGCTAACACAGACCAGAGGGCAGGGCGTCTCCTCACAGGGCTGTATTCTCAACTTGGACCCGGGGGCCAAAGAGCTGCTCAGCAAGCACCTTTCCATCGTACTTGGGCAGTGTACCCCCAAAGTCAGCGGGCAAGATGTCCTCATCAATCTCCTGGAAGAAGCCATCGAGGTCATCTCCATGAACAAAGACCTGCAGGACAGTGAGCAGAGCAACTGAGCAGGAGGAAGAGGGAGGAGGGAGGACAAAGCCATCGCGTGCTGTCTTTGCCTGGCGATGTCTCTCCCTACAGTCTTCCATGTGGGGCTGTCAGGGCATTGCCCATTCAACTCGGGACCAGTGTGCAGTGTCTGAGGAAGGCTCTGGGGGCAGCCATGAACTCACCCTCTGTAGCAACTTGTTCTTCAAGAAGGGCTTGACCACGTTATAGGTGGTGGTGAAGTACCATGGCTGGTGGATGAAGTGGATAGCTTTGAACCTGGCTGGGAATGAATCCTGTAGTGACAGAGAGAGACCCCCTCACACCATTGGCCCAGTGGTCTCTGAGGCTTCTACTTATCAGCACACACAGAGACAGCCTCTCCCCATGGAGTGAGGACTGACTTTTCCAGCATTTACATGCTGCCCTGGAGGATAGTCCATTCCGGGGTCAGCCACCAGAGAAACTTGACTTCACCTTTGCTCCAAGTTACACAACCTAAAGCTGTTCCATGATGCAAAGCAATTGGTGACTGTCTGGTGTGTGTGTGGTGTGTGTGTGTGTGTGTGTGTGTGTGTGTGTGTGTGTTGGCACTATTTGTTGGTTTTTGTGAGACAGGGTCTCGTGTGTCCAAAGCTGACCTTATGACACAGTTGAGTTATGACCTTGACCTTCCAATCCTTCTACCTCTTTCTTCTGACTGATAGAATTACAGGCCTGTGAGACAATGGCAAGTGTTGGGGATAGAACTCAGAGTTTTGTGCATGCTGGGTAAGCACTGTACCAACTGAGTATTATCCCCAGCTGCAGTGATTGATGTTTCTCCAAGTCTCTTGTCCCCTGGGTAGACTGCAAATGGTTACAGACCATAAGAACATCATTGTCATGCCTCCTTGTCCTTCAGCAACTGCCATACCCATATCTCCAACCTCTTCTTTCCCAACACACATAGGGTAGATATAAGGAAGCTCAAAGAAAGGACTGGGGATATCTGTATATATAAAGCAATAAGAAGGGGGCTGGTGATGTCCCCTCCTCAGGACAAACTCACAAGCAAAAAGGCAGCAGACAGCCTAAGGTTCCAGGATCACTCACATAGAGTCAACTCCAACCTCAGTCACTTTATCTGTGTGACCTTGCAAAGTCACTTAACCTCTGAGCCTCAGGTTCCAGGTTTGTAAGATGATGCAGAAGATAAGATGAGAACTCTCTCAAGGAAGCAATGACATCATCACCATGTCCTTATCACACTCAGTCGCCATGCAAGTGTTTGTGGTTGACATGACAGCTGTCACTGCTCTGCATGACACTAGGTTGTCAACCCTCAGGTCCCTTCCTGCATTGTAAAACTGAGAAACTAAGTCAGGCCTTCCCACCTGTGAAAGTTTCCTATGGAGCGGGTTCCAAGGTCTCACCTGGAGCATGTCCACCATCTTTTTGAGATCCGAGGGGCGGAGCCCCGCTGCCTGCTGCATGGTGAAGCCCTTAAAGTTCTCAACAATGCAGAAGCCATTGATTTGCGTTTCCTCATTCTCTAGCAGCTTCTCCAAGATGAAACAGTATGCCTGCAGGATCTAGAAACACAGGGGCTAGGTATGTGGTCAGTCACAAGGCCCCAGGGTTGGTCTCCAGCATCAGAAAGCCAGAAGCACAGCAAGTGGGGATTAAGATCCAACCCCCAGAGGTGATTAACCCCCAGGGTCCTGAGTGGAGAGCCAACTGACACATTCCTCACTGCAGGAATTTGCCAAGGTGTCCATCTAGGGCTTTCCCCTTGCAGAATACATGCTAATAAAATAACACTGAATGTCACGTTCACAGAGTTTATCCCAGCACTCTTATACTGCTGGAAACCACTAGAAACAACCTAAGTATCCAGTAAGAGAGGAGTGAAATAAAGGTAGATTTAAGCCATGGAATATTGTGTCACAGCAGTGGAAATGATGTTAAAACATTAACAATGCGGGGAACTCTTCGTGACACTTCATTGCACCGAGGAATCTCCTGATTTTGTTATGTTTTGGTTTGTTTGTTGGTGCCAGAGATCAGTGGTAGAGTCTTATGCATGCTGGTCAAGCACTCTACCACTGAGCCATATCTCCAGCTCTTGGTTTGTTTGAACAAAAGCTCCTCCTACAACCAACTCCTGAGTGCTGGAACTTCAGCTCTAATCACCATTACCTTGACTGCTGCGATCTGCTTATCCCAGATCCTTTTGCCTCCCTCCTCTCTCCTCTCTCTCTTTCCCTTCTTCTCTCCCTCCCTTCCTTCCTCCCTTCTGGGGATTGAACCCAGGGTATTGCAAATTACTAAACTATATCACCAGCCTTCTTTTTACTTTGTATTTTTAGGCAGTGTCTTACTAAGTTACTTAGGCTGGACTTGAACTCACTTTAGCGCCCAGGCAAACCTTAAACTTGTAGACAGTTCTCTTGCTTCAGCCTCCCTAGTAGATGGGTTTACAGGTCTGTGACACCAAGAATGATTGATGATCCTATGGTTAAAAGTGTGTTAAAGCAAAGGATAACTATACTACAGGCCACAACCCCAGAGAAGCTAGCTAACAAAGAGGTCCCTAAGAGAAACATGTGGTTCTGCCTAGGAAGGGGAATTAGAAAAGGTCTCCTGAATAAATTGGGAGCATGGGAGGGAGGGGGAGAGCGAAAGGGGAGGAGGGAGGAGGGAGGAGAGAAGGGAAGTGGGGAGGAGAACATGAGAGAACAGGAAGGACAGAGAGGGAAAGCAAAGAAAGAAATATCTTCATAGAGGGAACCATTGTAGGATTATTGAAAAAACCTGGCACTAGAGAAATTCCCATGAACACACAAGGATGACCCCAGATAAAAGTTTAAGCAATAGTGGAGAGGGGGACTGAACTGGCCTTCCCCTGTAATCAGATTGAGGTCTACCACAATTGTCAAACCTTCATCCTATAATCAGATTGAGGTCTACCACAATTGTCAAACCTTCATCCTATAATCAGATTGAGGTCTACCACAACTGTCAAACCTTCATCCAGTAACTGATGGACGCAGATGAAGTAATCCATAACTAACCACCAGGCCAAGCTCCCAGAGACCAGTCGAAGAGGGGAAAGTGATAATATGAGCAAAGGGGTCAAGACCATGATGGGGAAATCCACAGAGACAACTGACCCCAGACTGACCGCAGCAGAACCTGCGTAGGACTGAACTAGACCCACTGAATGCAGTTAACAGTAGGTGGACTGAGCAGTTTGTAGGACCACTGGCAGTGGGCCCAGTGTATGAACTGGCTTTTTGGAGCCCATTTCCTCTGGAGAGATACTTGCTTAGCCCAGTCATGAGGGGTGGGGGTGGGGGGTGTTGGTCAGACCTCAGCATGGTGATGAGACAGACTTTGTTGACTCCCCATGGGAGACCATACCCTCTCTGAGGAGCGGGTGAGGGATAGGGTGAGTGGAAGGTAGAAGGAGCAGGATGAGGGGATGGAGGGAGAACTTGGATTGATATGTAAAATTAAAAATTAAATTAAAATTTTAAACGTGTATGTGTGTAATGCATAATCTTCCTGCCTGCTGCCTGGGTCCTGTTGCTGCTTTCAGCCCCCAAATAACACACAAGACACTCTATTAATTATGAAGCTGTTGGCCGTTTGCTTGGTTTCTTCTCGGCTAGCTCTGATTTGATTATTGACCCATAATTGCTAATATATATTTTATAAGGAATTATCTTTTTGAGGACGCAGCCTCATGAGTCCTTTTCTCCAGGGATATCACATGGTGAGCACTCTCTTCACTACATTTCCCAGAATCCTCCTAGACTCCTAGTCCCACCTATCTTGCTTCCCTATTGACCAACAGTGCTTTATTTACATATACACAGAAGGACTTCCCTATCATATGTGTGTATAAATTAACTGGAAGGATACAGTGATAAAAAAAATCTAAGGTAGCAGAATTATAAATGATTTTTTAAGCTTGCAATTTTTTACATTACCATGTAATGTAAAAATGCAATTCTTTTCAGAATAGATAGGATTTGCATAATAAGCAAAATGCATGTTTTGAAATCTTTTTATAAAAAATAAAAACAATACTTTCAGTTGGAGCTAGAGAGATGGCCCTGAGATTAAGAGAGCTTGCTGTTCTTACAGAGGACCTGAGTTAGGATCTCAGTACCACAGTTGGTTGGCTCATAACTGTCTGTAAGTGTAACTCCAGCTCCAGGGGATCTGATGCCTCTGGCTTCCCCAGGAGCTACCTCTCTCTCTCTCTCTCTCTCTCTCTCTCTCTCTCTCTCTCTCTCTCTCTCTCTCTCTCTCTCTCTCTCTCTCTTTCTCTCCCTGTCCCTCTCCCTTTCCCTGCCCCTCTCCCTCTGTCTTACACACACACAATTTTAAAAAATATAAATCTTTCAAGTCATGGTGGTGCATGCCTTTGATCCTAGCACTCTGGAGGCAGAACCAATTTATCTGTTTGTTCAGGGCCAACCTGGTCTACTTAGTGCGTCCCAGGAGAGCCAGGACTATGTGAGAGATCCTGTCTTTATGTGTGTGTATATGATTTACTTTACTTACTTTTTTGGAGACAGGGTTTCTCTGTACCGCTAAGATTTAAGGCCTGTACCTCCACCGCCTGTCTTATTTTTATTATCACTTACTTGTGATGAGGATGTGGGTTCCACTGAAACTGGAGTGACAGGAGACTGTGACCTGCCTGACGGGGGCTGAGAACAGAACTCCAGTCCTCTGCAAGAGCAGCAAGCGCTCTTAACAGCTGAGCCATTTCTTCAACCCTTCTCCCCGAAATAATATGTCTTTCTTTTTTTAAAGCTTTAATTCTAAAGCTAGAATCTCATTTACTGAGAAGGCCTAGTAACACCCTTAATAAGAGCAGGCATAAGGCAGGGATGTTGACTTTTTCCATCACTGTTTAACTAGACTGAAGGGCTGGTCAGTGCAATCTAATTTCTTCTTAAAGTCTGGGGTCCAAAAAGTAGAGAAGGTGGAGGAAACAGTCTCCTTTATTTATATATACTAGTATGCTTAGAAACACAGGTGAAGGCCGGGGGACTTAGCTTACTTGGTAGAGTGCTTGTCTAGCATGTATGCAGTCTTGGGTTTGATTCCCCAACACTGCATAAAACCAGGTATGTTGGCTCATGCCTGTAAACCCAGCATGGCAAGAGAAGTTTGAAGACCACCCTTAACTACACAGTGAATTCAAGGCTAGCCTGGGATACCTGAGACTCTGTTTCAAAACAAAACAAATAAGAAAGGAAGAAAACTAAGAGAAAGATTAAAAAATAAAGGAAAATCCTAAATTCTTTCTCTTGATCAGCCCTCCTAAGGGCGTAAACATATGACCTTACGGAAAGCAGATGGTTAAGTAGGACAGAACCTGTGCCTTCCAGAATCCTCCTGCCCACAGCCCTCTGATCCCAGTCTCTGTTGTTCTCAGCTTTCAGGCTTGGCAAGGTTTCCTTCAGTCCATGGCCCACAGCTGTTGCCTCACTCGGCATTGCTGGGGATAACCAGGCCAGTGGGCTCTACTTGCAAAGCTGCTGGGCTTCCCAGCTGTCCTGGAGCATCCTAGGAATCCTCTCCCTGTTTGGGAAATGCCTGGTGGCAGGTGACTGCCTGCCCTCATCCCTCCACGGACTTGTCTCCTGGGGAACCCCACGATAAAGACAGGGCTAGGACAGAGAGCCCAGCTGACCTCATCAAAGGTGACCTCTTCACAGTGCCAGTTTTCAATGTTGAAGAGCATAACCACTCTGCCATACTTGTCCCGACTAGAGAGAACGCCAGGGTAACCCGCCTCGATAGTGCAGCGGACGGCCTCCATGGACAGGCTATCGAAAAGTTCAGGGTACTGGAGCCGGAAGTTCACATAGCCTGGAAGAGGGAGAGGCAAGGAGCCATCTCGGAGGCTATTCCAGCCACGCTCACCTATCTTCTCTGGTGGTACATGGTGGGAATCAGAGACCTGGCTGTCTGTGTGTGACAGGACTTCCAGCTGTCTGAGTCCCTTGTTTCCTTCCCACAAGATTGGCCTGTCTCCCCGAAAAGTTGTGGCAATTACACGTGGTTCACAATGTTCACATTCTGAGCTGTACAGGCATGAGGTACAGTCCTACATAAGAAGGTAATCCTATGCATTATATTCCTTCGCTTGGGGACAAGGCACAGGCTGTTAACTGGGCACAGGGCCAGCTGAGTGGGTGGGTGGGTGGGTGGGTGGGCAGGGCTGAGGATAAACTCAGGGCCCCAGCTAGACTCAGAGGCTCTTCCTAATTCTGGCAGTGCCTGCTTTGCTCACAAATACCATTCAACTTACCCTGCCTTCCCGTGGCCTTCTGCGCCCCCAACCTGGGGCCCAGGAGAGGGGTTTAGGAAGCAATTGCCAAGAAGCTGCCAACAACTTCTCTGCCGTTCTAGAACACTGCAGTCTTATCCCACCTCACGTGTGCCTTGTTCCCTCTGCCCAGTTACTCGATGCCTCGTTTCCTTGGGGGTTATTTTCAGATGTCCCTTTGCAGTGGAAGCCTTTAATGTAAGTTCCACAAGAGCATGGGAGGCTTGAGCTCCTTGACCTAACACAGTGGTGGGCCCTGGTGGCACTGACTTGACATTTGGGGGCAGAGGGGAAACGTAAAAAGGAAAGCCATTAGGCCACAGATCACCCGCTTCAACACTTCCCTCTATAGACACCACAGACTTGATTTCCTCAGGGAATGTTTTTTTCCACCATGCACCCACCCACCCACCAACAGAGCCCAAGTGATCTTGAGTGTTAAGAGAAGCTTTTTCTTTTGCTAGCCGCTTTGGTTTATCACCCGCCAGTCGCCTGGGCTCTGCAGCGTATCAGTCCCAAATAAACACACAGGAGGCTATATTAATTATGAAGCTGTTGGCCTTGCTTGTCTCTTACTGGCTAGCTCTGCCTTAAGTAATTACCCCATAATTGTTAATCTAAGTATGTTTCTTACCGGAGAAGTTTCCGGGCTCCTACCCGGCGTTACACTTGAGGACTGCTCAGCTGGCACTGTGTTCACATGCTTGCACACACAAACTCATGTCGCACACACAGACTCATGAAGGAGCTGGAGACAGTGACTACATCGTGGCATAAGGACAGCTTCTTGGTGTAGAAAGGGTAGACACCCTCCCCAAAACTTCCTCCCACATTATAGGGCCAGCCCTCCAATGCAGGCCTTACCTTTGAGCAGCTCATAAGCGCGGCCCACGTCAAACTTTCGAGCACGGATGAAGCGCAGGAGGAAGGCACTGTCCCTTGCCTGTACCCTCTCAGCCACCGCCAGGGCCAGCTCCTCCCCTGAAGCTGCCTGTGCCTGCACCAACTCCTGCAGCTCCCTCACCACCTCCTCCCGGGTCTCCTCCTTCTCGTTCAGCTCATCCTTGGCCTGCAACAGGGTGGGTTGGAGCAGAAGTTACCACTCGGTGCTGCTGAGAAACGGGGCGCATGTGAATAGGCTCAAATCTAAGTTGGCCTGCTGGAGTGCCGCCCAGGGTGCTACAGTTTGGGCCTTACTCCTTTGCAGCTCTGCCTTCCAGGGTCAAGGAGTGGTGTGCTGCTCTCTCATAGACACTTGCATTTGGAGAGAGTCAAAACTGCTCAGCCTGGCTTTGTTTGCAAGACATTGACAGCCATAAGTGATTCTAACAAATGCCCATGTGTACTGTGCTCTTACTCAACACCCTGCTCAGTCCTCTAAATGCCTTGTGTGTTTCTTTAATTCATTGAATTTATTCGTCGTATATGTGAGTGTTTTGCCTGCACGTATGTCTGTGCACCATGTGCATGCTAGGTGCCTGAGAAGGTCAGAAGAGGGCATCAGGGCCCCTGGAAGTGGAGTTATGAATAGTTGTGAACCACCACAGGGAGCTAGGCATCCAACTGGAGTCCTTTGCAAGAGCAACAAGTGCTCTTAACCACTGAGCCATGTCTCCATCCCTACACTGTGTTTTTAATTTTTGCCACGACCCATTGTGGGGTTTGTTTGTTTTATTATTATTTTGCTCTGTGTTTGTTTGCTTTTAATTATTATTTTGTCCTTTTGCACTGATTTATTTTTGCACGCATATTTAGGGAGGAGCATGTGTGTGTCGTGTTCATGTGGAAGTCAGAGGACAACTTGTGGGCGCTGTTTCTCTCCTTTTACTGTGCGGGTCAAGTTTGATAGCAAATGCCTTTTAGCCAATGAGCCACCTCACCAAGCCCTTATTTTTGTTTGGGGTTTTAAAATTTATTTTGTTTTGGTTCGTTGGGGGTTATTTGGGGGGGGTTGTTTTTTTTAAGACAGGGTTTCTCTGTGTAACAGCCCTGGCTGTCCTGGAACTCACTCTGTAGACCAGACTGGCCTGGAACTCACAGAGACCCATCTGCCTCTACCTCCAAAATGCTGGGATTAAAGGCAAGAACCACCACAGCCAGATGTTGGTTTGTTTTTTGAGACAAAGGTTTTAGCTTAGTCTGACTTCAAATTTGAGATACAACCAAGGTTGACCTTGAACTTCTTTTTTTTTTGTTTTTGTTTTTTTTTTGTTTTTTTTTTTTTTCGAGACAGGGTTTCTCTGTATTGTTTTGGAGGCTGTCCTGGAACTCACTCTGTAGACCAGGCTGGCCTCAAACTCACAGAGATCCTCCTGCCTCTGCCTCCCGAGTGTTGGGATTAAAGGTGTGCGCCACCAATGCCTGACTCGACCTTGAACTTCTGATGCTGCCTGTACCTCCCAAGTGCTGGGACTACAGGCATGTGCTACCATACCTTGTTTTATGAGACGCCAGAGGTGGAATACAGAATCTCATGTGCTTTAGACAATTCTGTCAACCGAGCCACACCCCCAATCCTATTTTCAATTCTTTTGAGACAAGATCTCTATATGTAACCCAGGCTGGCTTTAAAATTATAATTCTCCAACCCCTCTCTCCAAATGCTGAGGTTACAGGCATGAACCACTATACTTGGTACAGTTAGCGTTCTTATGCCTATCTCCCAGAAGACTATGCTAGGGGGACTAGATGTGACCTGTACTTGCCCTAGTTCCCCCAAGGAGGAGGACACCCTGTCTTCACTCAGAGGCATCCAGACTTGACCCAGCAGAGAACAGCCTGCCTCAACTCCCCTACCCCCCATCCAAGAGCTCCTGTTGCTAGAGACACCAGTCAATGCAGAACAGAGCCTGGCAGAACTCAGCCACTTCCCACCTCCGCTCCGGGCAGCCACTAGTACAACTGCCATGTTTCATAGACACACAGAGACCAGATGCAGAGAGGAGAGCTCTTTGCTCAAGGTCACAGAGCAAGTTGAACATGTCTGGTCCTAGAGCTTGAGCCTCCTGCTTTTCCCCTGGGGACAGTCATTTTATCCTTGTTCATTAGGGCCACTTCAGAAGCCTGTTCCTTATATGAGCCGAGGTTAGCCCCGGGCCCTTAGGCTCCAGGCTGCAGTCTCAGATTAAGGTGTTTTGAGTACTGACTGACTAGCCCAGTAGTTGCAATAGCTCTGACCTCCAGGATAGTCTAGAACAGGCCAGTCTCTCATGTCCAGGATGGCCTAAAGGGTGCGGATGAACCTTTTCTAAAGGAGAGAGGACTCTGTCTCATGCCCACCCCACCCTACTGTGTTCCTTACCAGTTTGTCCCAGCCAGCGCTCCCCTCCCCCACTCTGCCATCTCACCTTCTGCAAAGTGTGGCGGGGCAGCCGGCTGCACGGGCCAAAGACAGGACCGTGGTCCTTGGTTGTGAGCTGCTCCAGCTGTGCCCGGAGCTTCTGCTCCTCCTCGGGGACCATTCGGTATGTGCCCACCTGGGCAGAGACGAGTCATGTAGAAGGCAGGACAGCTCTGCCCCCAGCAGCCAGAACCACTGTCATATGGGTCTGCTGAGATCTTACATAATGCCTTTGGCCAAGATCTTTGCTGAGCCTCCTCCCTTTGGTGGATCAGGGCCCCAGAGAGATTATCAAGGTATAGGGAGGAAGGGAACAAGGGAAGAAGAGCCGGGCTACTCACCCCCTCGGACATATTGCCTCTCGAAGACACTGAAAGAAAGAACCTGTTTGCTCTACCCTGGCCTCTCCAGGTGGCCTGTTCCCAGCAGCCAAGGAAGTCAGCAATACAGTGATATTGGGGAAACCCTTCTGTGTTTGTCCTAGAACAGTGAATCTCAAGCCTTCAAGTCCCTCCCAACAACTAGGTGATTGGTCAGAAATTCAGACGCATAGGTCCTGGCCCCTGTGATTCTGACTAGAAGGCTAAAATTAGAGGCCCCTCTTCCCCACCCAGCTCTAAAGGACAAGGTTCCTGGGCTACACTTTGAGAACACTGCATTTGGAAGGAGCACAACACTAACCCCCTACTCTTTAGCTGTGGCTCGCCAGGAACAAAGCAGAACGGGGCCCCATTCTCAGCCACAGGGTCAGGTCACTACAGTGTAAGGGAATCTCTCTTCCATTATGCAGCCTTCCTTCCCCAGTGCAAATGGGCACCCCAGAAACCTCTCAGCCCAGTGGATGACTCTGTCCCCAGCATGTCCATTCTTAGGCGCGATGGTGAATCTTTATACCATCAGTCCTGGGTGTGTGTCCAGAGCTGTGTGACACACTAAGAACTTTCAGATTCATTATCTCAGAAACAGGCACGGTAGCACCATTCCTGTTTTATCTATGGGGGAAATGGGGCCAGGATAGTGACTTGTCCAAGGTAGCATAATCCAAGGAAGCTGGGGACTAGGATACATACCTAAGATGTGAGTACTATAGGCAGCAAGGAGCAGCTTGGGGCAACTGGATGAGGGTCCTGGTTTCCGATCCTGTCTCTCTCACACTTGTATGATTTCACTTGAGTCTTGACTGCCCTGTTGGGATGGGAGGGTTATGAGATGTAATTAAATATTGTGCACACAAGCAGACCACAGAAGAGATTTCAGTCATGGCCTACGTGTTCTCAGATTTTCTCCTCCCAGGCCTGAGTGTCCCTAGTGACTGTGAGGATCTTTAATCACTGTTTCCCCCCTTGATCCGGTTCCTTTGGTCAGCTCAGCCACATACTCACAGTTGGTAAGTAACTGGGATTTGAACCTGAATCTACCTGACACTGAGTCTGTTTGATGCTTGCAGCCATGTCATCTCCATGCAAACTCCCTGGGGGAGCTGGTGAAAACCTTGTAGGTTGGAGAGATCTGGATTTGAGTCTGACTTTTACCCAAAGTGACTGTCACAAAGACCACAGGGTTTCTGTGACATAACCTAGAGTGGAATCTTGCTCTATAACCGAGTCCCCTCTTCCTTTCACACTGAGATTAACCCAGTTTGGACACTGGAACTTGAGATCCAAGAGAAAGTCCGAGGATCTCTCACATTTTAAATATGTCCTTTCCCTACACAGCCCTGCAAGGACGAGGGGATTCTGGGGACTGGAATCCACCCATAGGAACCAAGCAAAAGTCTGTCTGCTTTTTAAATAGCAGACAGACATCCAAATATGTGGGCATAAAGAGCTAGAGGGACAAAAAAAAAAAAAAGAGCAAGAGGAGCGTATAGTGGCACATACCTATAATCCCAGCGCTTGGGAGATAGAGGCAAGATCAGAGGTTAAGGTTATTCTTGGCTACATAGTGAGTTCAAAGCCAGCCTGCATTACATGAGACTCCATCTCAAAAAACAAAAAGCAAAAGCTGGGTGTGGTGGTGTGCATCTTTAAACCCAGTACTAGGATCACTGAGTTTGAAGCTAGTCTGATCTACATAGAGAGTTCCAGCCAGCCAGGGCTATGCAGGGAAACCCTGTCTGAAACAAACAAACAAGCAAACAAAGCAAAGCAAGACTGTCTGAAGAACTCAAGAGGAATTAGTGGATCCCCCAGCCAGATAAGCAGATCAGCAGCACAGGTCCTAGGTCTTAGAAATGTCAAGTTAAAGCCAGCACTTGCGTTTATCTCTCATTTTTAAAAAGCATGTACCCATGAGCTGTTTGCATGTATGTAATGGAAACGTGCTCCCCCTCCAGCTCCACGTCGATATTCTCTGCCATTTAGAATTGGCAAATAAAGTACAATTAATTTCACATATAGGACATAAAAGGCATTGGATCATCTGCAGTTCTAATTGAATTAGGTACTCCATATTTATATGCGCTGAGTCTACCTGTAGATGGGTCTGGCTTACCCTGAAGAGTAGCACACCACTTTACAGGCAATCAGAGAAACCCTGACCACTCACACACACACACACACACACACACACACACACACACACACACACACACACACACACAGTCTTCTGCTCCCTGGCCTGGCCTGGCCTTGTTACTGACTTACTTACCCGACAGCTCTTCCTTAGGGCTATGGTGCCTGAATTCTTCTGGCACTCCAGAAGCTGCCTCCTTTGGAGGTGTGGTCAGGTCAGCAAGCTCAGATTAGTGTGTCACAAGGAACTTCTCAGGCCCACTGTTTCCCATTAAATCAGGCTCACAAGAGGCCCAGAGTGAAACATCCTGAGGGAGAGGGGAGAGGCCCAGCCTGCAGGCAACCGTCAAAGCCCTTTGTGAGCTTCTGCTTGAAGCTCTGTTCAGCCATGTGGAAGCCACTTCTCTGGGACCTGGGCCAGCCCCAGCCCATTCCTCTGCCCCCTCTCTTCTCCGACTGGGAGGCAGGGGATCCTGAGTGAGCACCCCCTCCCCACAAAGGGAGGACAAAGATAGAAATGAAGAGAAACTGTAAATGTCATCATCAGTGCAATCCAGGCCTATGGTCCACTGTCCCACACACACACAGGGCACGGTGAAACCGAGCAGGGGAGAACCTGCTCTGTGTCCTAAGCTGGCCCACTCTCAGATGTGTTTGTGGATTGAACCAGGCCTGACACACGAAAGAACTCTATCTCTAAGCCACACCCTCAGCCACCGCACCCCTCCCCAAGCCAGGTAAGTTTTGAACTTCTGATCCTCTGCCTCTCAAAGGGGAGGAAAGCAGGTGTGTGCTGCCCCAGCCGGTCTCCCTTTGCTCCAGAGCCCGTCAGGCCGAGGTTACTTCTCCACACTGTGACTTGGTCTCCTTTGAGAAGTGAGATGGCCAGAGAAGAAGCTGGGGCTGTGGGGAAGGTCGGCGGTGGCCACACAGCACCCACTTCAGGTGCTTAGCTGCCTGTTCCTGCGGAGCTGCCAGTCATGCCCAGTACAGAGTCAGTGGGCTCCTAGGTGAAGGGGACACATCCAAGCCTCAGTGCAGCCAGAAACTCCTGAGCAGCCCTCAGTAGGGGACACCCTGCCTCTGCCTTGGTATTGCCCTGGGGTATGAGAGATACAAGTCTTTTAGATCATTCTCTGCAGGGGATTCCAAAGCCAGGGAGCTCCCTAGGAAGTTCTCCTTAATGAAGCTCATCTTAGTCTGAGCCCACGCAGCCCACCTTCGATCCCAGTCCTCTCTCCCAGAGGTACTCAGGGCAGCCTGAGCTCATGGGTACAGGCCATTCTCTGGAATCCAACCACAAAAATGATTTTGCTCTCACCACAGTTTGGGGCTTACACAAGAAAGAGCACTTGCAGACACGGAAAGAAGACACTACCCACAAGCTAAGGAGGTGACAAAAGACAGCACCTTGGTCCTAGACCTCCAGCATCCTGGGTTCTAGAGAGTGGATTCCTGGTGGTGAAGTCACCTAGGCTGTGGCATTTTGTTATCCCCAAGAAACTTCAATGAATGTAAGGTTCACAGGAGGTGATAAGAACAAGAGGCCAGGCTGCCCCCTACACCACTAAGAGGCTCTGTCAGGACCCAGTAAAGGGCTTCATTACAAAACATCCCTATGAACCCAGAGCACTGTGAAGTCCACGTCATGGCCTAGTAGAAGAAGGCAGTCTAGAGCATCAGTTCTCAACCCGTGGGTTGTGACCCCTTTGGAGGGGGCACCTTTCAAATATCCTGTATATCAGATATTTATATTATGATTGATCATGGTAGCAAAATTGCAGTTATGAAGTAGCAACAAAATAACTAACATTTTATGGTTGGGGATCACCACATCACGGAACTCTATTAAAGGGTCTCAGCAATAGGAAGGCTGAGGACCACTGGCCTGGAGCATCTCAGGACACCAGCAGGCATGAAGCCCTCCCTTCTGGGGAAGAAGAGCCCCAGAACAGATTTCTGTTCACAGCCCTTCTCCTGTCTCCTCCTGCCCTCCTCCCATTCCGAGAGTCTTGTTTACCTCTAGGTCCTCTGGCTAGAACAATGGTGGCACTGTCCTCATTGGCCCACAAACCTATGCTGGCTGTGCTGGCGGACACCCTTGGGCTTCCTGGCCTGCCTGGCCCCAAATGACTGAAAACAGGGAGGGAGAGAGAGAAGGAGGGAGGGAGGGAGGGAGGGAGGGAGGGGGAGAGGGAGGAGGCTTGTATTTATAGGGTCAGTGTATTAGTGTGAAAGTCTCTCAACTTTGTTTCTGTCATGAGCAGAAACAGATGGACATGCTCATGTCTAAATTTATTGAATACAAAGAAAATCACAGCTTTGTTGGCTGCAACCTCCCAAGTAATTTTGATTTTGCTTGAAAGTTGGTCATAGACAATCATCAGAATTTTATTCCAATCTTAATTACCAATATTAACTATTAGATCACACATATATGTGTATACACACACACACACACACACACATATGTATATATACACGTAGATAACAGAATGGCCATGAAAAGGGTTGAAGAGGCTGTGACATTCAGAAAAGTATTCAATAAGTCTTAGGAACCTAAGGGCAGCATTGTTCTGGTACAGAGGTGTCAGACCCAAGTTTAGAAAGCCATTTAAGGGTCAGTTTGAAGAGGGATCTCATGGGTAGGAGAGACTGTGTGCTGGACCTGAGGGACTAGGTCAGGAGACAGTCACTGGGTGGTTTTATTTGGTGAGGGTTGTAATGAGTGGCTGAGTGACATTTCTGCCACGTGTCGACCTTGGGGTGCTCTGCTTTTATAGTCCCGGGTGAAGGGTTTACATCTGGTGTGGTGACATGCTCACCTGACTGGCATTTCTGGTATTATTTGCTATTCTTCGGTTTCATTGTTTATTGGCACTAATGAATTGTTTGTGTTTCTAGTGTGCCAACAGATGGAGGTCTTTCAACTAACATTTACTGACTGGGTACTACGTTTGACACTGGGAATCCAGAGAAGAATGAAACACTAACTCTGCAGTTTAAAAGATCAAAATCATACACACAAAAAATAAAACAATAATGTACTGGCTTTAGACCCCACCACCACCAAAAAGGGAATAGCGTGTGATAAGTAACGCAATAGTATCCTCAAGTGTTCCAGAACACACCCATCTACAAAAACGCCACAAAAGATGAGCATGCGTCTGGGGACAGGGGTTGTCTTTAGATTATTAAATTTGAAATATGTTACAAACAATACTTTCTTCTAAGAAATTGCCAATGAATGTAAACAATGTAAAGGTTCTGGAAAGTCCTGAAGGAAAGAAATCTTTTCAAAACCTATGTAGTCCTTAAAGTGCTTGCCACTCAAGCATGAGGACCTGGGATTATCTCCAGAGCACATGTAAAAAGTCACTGTGAGGAATTATAATCCCAGAATTGGAGGGCTAGAGACAGGAGGATAAATGGAACTCACAGATGGACCAGCCTAGCCTCACTGGCAAGCCCTGGGTCCTGATGCAAGACCGTCTCAAAAACAATATGGGGGGATGGGGCGGGGTGGCAGCAGCTCATGCCTTTAATCCCAGCACTCAGGAGGCAAAGGCAGGTGAATCTCTGTGAGTTCAAGACCAGCCTGGTCCACAGAGCAAGTTCCAGGACAGCCAGGACTGTGTTCACAGAGGGACCCTGTCTCAAAACACAAAACAAACAAATAAACAAACAAAACCAGCATGGAGGAGCAGCACTTGAGGACGACCTTTGGTCTCCACTGCCCATACATGCACATACATGTGAGCATACATGAACAGGTTGTAGGGAACAGAGGTCCATACGGGCAGGTTTTTGTTAGATTACTTGGTGAGGGTGTGGATAGTCTGCATGGGCCTAAGATGTTACAGAGACCTTAGCACAGCTGACTTCATGCCATTCAGGTTGTAAAACTCAGCATGTAGATAGTACAGCCTGCCACAAAATGAAAACAAAGACCCAAGCCATCAAAGCCCACAGTTATGGGGAAGTCTTTAAATGTCCTAACCTTGCTTTTTGGCTTCTATAGTTTCACTTCTGGATAACTGTTCTCAGTTTTTGGTTTTTGTTTTGTTTTAAGGTATTTATTTATTTACTTATTATTTATTTATTATGTATACAGCGTTCTGTCTGCATATAAGCATGCACACCAGAAGAGGGTTGTGAGCCACCATGTGGTTGCTGAGAATTGAACTCAGGACCTCTGGAAGAGCAGTCAGTGCTCTTATCCTCTGAGCCATCTCCCCAGGCCCCCCTGCTCTTGTTAACTGAAGTGTGTCAACCCAGGACATGATTTTGTGTGTGTGTGTGTGTGTGTGTGTGTGTGTGTGTGTGTGTGTGTGTGCTTAAACTTTCACCCTCAGAAAAGCTTGGGGCTATCCTGGAGTCCCTAACACTCAGTATAGTCAAAGGCAAAGACTTTCTATTGCCTTAAACCCATGTCTGAGCAGTCTTCTCTGGTGAATATCCCACAACAAAGATAGCTTATGATGCATATATGGGAGTGGGGGCTCTGAGTCAGCACAAAATAGCCGAAACCAGGTGTCTAGGGGTGTGTGGGCCTGCATGCCACGGCACTCCTGTGGAGACAAGGCACAAATTGCCAGAATCAGCTCTCTCTCTCCTTCTACCTTGTGGCTCCTGGGTACTAAACTCAAGTTATCACATTTGGTGACACGCTTCTTGCCCATTGAGCCATCTTGCCAACCCAAAAATTTGCTTTCTTTTTTTTTAATGTTAAAAAAGTTGTTTAATTTTGTATTGTTGGGGGAGGTGTACAGGTATGTACATGTGCAACTGCACATGCCCGAGGAGCCCAGAAGAGGCTGTAGGACCCTGGAGCTGGAGTTACAGGCGGTTACCAGCTGTCTGAAATGAGTGTTGGGAATTGAATTTTGATGCTCAAAGAACAGCAAGTGCTCTTACAGTTGAGCCACCCCTCCAGCTCCCAGTTTTAATTTACAGAACACTGGGTGCCAGGCCTGAGCCAGGTGTGGGAGGAAGGCTGTTGTGGTGGTTTAAAAGAAAACGGCCCCCAAAGGGGAGGTGGGGCTTTGTTAGAGGAACTGTGTCACTGTCCGAGTGGGCTTTGAGGTCTCCTGTGCTCAAGTTACTCCCAATGAGTCAGACCACTTCTGATTGCCTGCAAGATGCAGGGCTCTCAGCTCCTTCTCCAGCTCCGTGTCTGCCTGCACATTGCCATGTCCTGCCATGACGATAATGGACTGAACCTCTGAAACTGTAAGCTAACACCGCAATTAAATGTTTCCCTTTATGAGAACTGCCGTGGTCACAGTGTCTCCTCACAAGAATAAAAACCCTAAGACAGCTGTCTTATGACAACCTACTCTTACTAGCCCCCAGGAGAGCTGCAGAAGGGCGTGGCCTGACTCCAGGACAGAGAGATGCTGTGGTCTGAGACCCACCAGGTTCAAAACATGAAAGTGCCACACTCTTGGCCACAGAGGTTTGGTGAATTAATTCAGAGCAGAAGAATGAAGATTCAGGAATAACATGTCCTCAAGGTTCATCCATGTTGTAGCACATGTCAGGATTTTCTTCTCCTATAAAGGTGGATAATAGTCCCTTGTGGGGATAAACTAGATTTTCATCATCTATTCACCAGGTGGCAGGCTTTTGGTTGGTTTCTACTCTTGGTATTGTGAAAACCCTGGTCTGACTATGGGTCTGTTGATATGTCTCATAGTAGTCTTTTTTCTACAGACAGGATAGACAGGACAGGATCTCACATATTGCAGGAGGATATGTTATGTGGCTGAGGTGACTTTGAACTTCTGATCCTCCTGTCTCCACCTCCAGGGCGCTGGGATTACAAGCATGTGACACCACACCCAGTGCTTCTCACCAGGAAAACAATGAACTAAACTTCTGAATTGTAAACGAGCCCCAATTAAATGTTTTCCTTTATAAGAGTTGTCATGGTCATGGTATCTCTGTGCAGTAATAGAAACGCTAAAACAGAAGTTGGTACTAGGGACTGGGGTATTGCTGTGATAGACCTGACTGTGTTTTTATTTGGAGGAATGTGGACTTTGGGTTAGGAAAGCAGTGGAATATTTAAGCACTGCCTAATGGGCCATACTGGTAGGACCATTGTAGACAATGGTACTGAGGGTTTTTTTTAACTGTGGAGGCCAGGCTCAAGAGGTTTCAGAGGAGAAGAATGTTAGTATTGACCTAGAGACAGTTCTTGTGATTTTTTTGGTGAAGAATGTGACTGCCTTTTGCCCTTGTCCAAAAAGTCTGCCTGTGGCTAAAATGAAGAGTTTTGAATTAATTCCATTGGCAGAGGAACTCTCAAAAGACTCTTATATAGATTTAGAATGAAAAGGAGCAAGATGATCAAGGAAAAATACAAAATGTACAGTTCAAGGAGAAAGGGACACCTGGAAATGGAATGGAGCTAAATCCTGTGTTGAAAGAGATAAACAGATTAAAGAAAATCCTGATGTTAAATGGAATAAAGGGAGTAGTGACCTCAGGGCAAGATCTCGCCCAGTTAAGCTTCTAACTTGTGCAAAGCAATTACAGAAAGCTTAGAGCCAGGTATGGTGGTGCATGCCTTTAATCCCAGGACTCTGGAGGCAGAGGCAGTAGGATCTCTTGAGTTTGAAGCCAGCCTGGTCTGTAGAGCTCGTTCTAGGACAGCCAAGCTTGGGCAGTGAAGGAAACCACTGAAATCAGAAAGTTGGTGACAATGTAATTCAACATGGGGGGTGGGGGATGTTCCAGCCCCAGCCAGCAGCAGAACTTGGCAGCTTTGGCCATATTGTTCTGGTTTTAGAGTCAAGGATAGAAGACAGAATTGCCTCCTTGACTAAGGAGAGCTGCTGAGGCCAGGCATGTGTCAGAGGTGTCCCCGTGTGAATGCCTAGAAAGGCCACTGTGTGAAACTGTGAAGGTGAAGCCTGGATTGCCTTGGAGACCCCAAAATATTGGATGCCAGAGCTGTGGGATACCTGCTAAGGAGGTGGAAGGATTAAACTAAACTCAAAAAGGCTTCAAGCCTTCAGAAGAAACTCATTCCCACCCTCCCCCTTAGTCTCCAGGAGACTTAGTTCTTGGAGACTGTGTTATATACAGCAGTCCTAGGGC